GATCTCATGGCGTACTCTAGCCGAAATGAGCCCCTGCCGTATTCGGTCGTAGTTCGACGCCGTTCCAGCCCCTCGCTTGTTACTGGAGGCTGGACGAGCAGCGCTATTACCTCGGCTTCCTGATCCGGTGGGTCGTTTGTGCCGGATGGGCTGTCGGGCCTTGAAGTGGAAAAGCAGGACCTGCTCTTGGTTTTACCCCATTCCCGTTTCCAACACCAACGGTTATGCGAGAAATGAAACAGAGCAATATCACCTGGTGCATCGAAACGTTTCGCGACTGCTGTAGGATTGGCGCCCACAACAAAACAAAACCCTAGCTCGTAGAGCAGAAGCATTCATCCAACCTCAAGTTCTTAAGCATTTCACCCTCCTTGATGTAGCAGTGAACGATTTGCTATCCTTCGCTCAAGAATAGACTGCCATACCTTCAAAGTATGTATGGCCACGGTATTCTAGCCAAAGTAGCGTCTATACACGTTGCGCAATCTTCAATATCCAAAGCCTTCCGTTAAGAACTTCGATTCTTCCCCGTGGTTCTCCGTTTGCAACATACATCGAACAACACATGTTCGAGTCCTAGTAGGGCCCGATTCACCTTGAGAACAATAATTTAGAGTCACCTTGATAAAGTCTTCCCTTGTGACGTGTTTCTTCCAAAAGCTCTGTCCTGTATTGAGCTTGAGCTCACGGATGACCCACTTCAGGCCCTGCAACACGATCCCCGGTGAAGTAGACATACATCAATGAAGGTTATGACCTTTATCCTTATGTACATGTAGGTGGAGATTCAGTGCATCTTTGTCGAAGGACTTACCTAATAGAAGAAGAGGAGATCAACCAGCCCAGCTACCGTCGGTAACAGGTGGGTGTCAAGACGATGAAACCATACCACACAATGCTGATAGATTGCCACTCCATATGGCACCAGTCAAACGGCGTGCCCACCAGAAGGGAAGGCTTTCAAATAGCTATAGCAGATGGCATGGGTCATGTGCGAAATGTGCGAACAGCCGAGAGCATAAGGAACCAATGAAACATCATTCCGTTTGATACCAGCATCCCTTGCCTCGATCACAAACCACTGACTGATACAATACACACCACCCGTGCGGCATCAATCACCTCGACTGGAAGGCCGCCATCCTCACTCCGCGTGAGAAGTTGACGTTTCGCCTTCAGTGAAGTACCTTCCGTGTTTGCTTTCTTGCGTCTAGCAGCTTCAGCTTGCTCGGTCGTGTTCATAAAACCAGCTGCCGTCAACTTCTCGATGACCCTGGCAGCACGCAAACAAAGGAACAAGTTTAATTTTGGAATGACTTTAGCAAATGTTTTATGATTCTTCTTTTTGTCTTTTAACATGAGGCATTCTCGAACGAAAGCCATCTCTCTCCTTCTCTCGGCCTGTAGACGTACGAACGCACGCGCGCCGCACTTACATTGAACGCTCGTGATGCATCAGTAGTCACATTACTTGAGATAGTGTGCCCAAATCCTACCATTCGATATCCTCTCTCCGTCGAAATTCTTCCAGGGCGGCCGTTAGGTTCTTGGAGCACTCGGAAGATGGTCCTACTCGCACGTGGGTATTGGACACCATGGTTTCGCGCTCGAGCTTTGCGTGTGAGGACTCGAGTGGAACTAAAAACGAGGGGAAACAGAAGGAGAACAATGATGAATGCCATGCACGCCGAATTTCCCACTGCTTGTGAGCTTCGTAGGCCCGTTGTTGTGCAAGTACACAACAACAGCATCAACAACAGCAGCAACATCAATCATCGTACAAATAGAAGTGCGAGATGCAAATTATTGTCGGACTTTGGACGTTTCACCTTTGCTCGTCGAAACGTCACGGGTTCCGCCGCCTCCTGCGTGTGTTGCGCACACACGCACGCACCGTGGATACAGCCAAATCTTTGATTGCCACGGCCACCGTAGCTTCTCGTACCGCTACTGTTGGGAGTTTTGCGTGAGCTACGCCATGGCCGAGGAGCCGCGGAGAGGCCCTCCCGTGGTGGAAATCGTGTTGCCGACCTACATCACAAAGCCTAGCGAGGACGAGAAGTTTTACCCGTCCGAGGTCAAGGCAGTGGCGGAGAAGGTACGCACGCCATCTTCGAATATCTGTCTACTCCGTATTTCGGTGTAAGACATGATAGTCTCCCTTTGTTTGATACCAAACAGAAAGTGGGTGCCATTCCGAACGAGCCCTGGAAGGTCTTGTGGGCGCGTGCCGCCACTACACACCGTAGATGTACAGCAATACAGCAGGACGGACAGATCTTACTTGTGGGTCTCCTTACAATACTGTAGCGGAATTAAAGCTTGTGGGTTCCTGAATATATAGTCTATAGCAGTGTAGAGAGTAGAGAGTCGATCATCATCAGCTTTGTTGAACCTGCTGGCCATTGTGGGGCAGACTGTATTAGATACAATTACACCATTTGACCAGTCACGCTGATTGGTCAAATGGTGTAATTGTATCTATATACACTCCCAGTCCCAGCCAAAATGCATATGCATACGACGCTTTATAGCCAAAATGCACCATTTCCACACCATCAAATGACTGGCGAGGGGTCCGACCCCGGAGATCACTGTCTTAGCTGGGAGGCCAAGAGCCCGCCGAAATATCTTTTATTAGATAAAATTACATCTGCTGGCTCTTGTTTGAGATATACCATGATTGTGTACACTTCGCGTACGTGATGTATACTGCAATACGACATACTGCCGTCTTTCCTGTACTGTCGTCTGTTCTGTACTGTACATACGTGAACTGGAGAATCTACTGTACGGGTGTAGGTCTTGGTCGAGAACATATTATTTCGAAAATCCTGGTTCTGACCGAAGAGTGATACCATCTATATATTGACCCAAAGAAAATAGCGGTATGAGTCATTCGTTATCAACGCAGAAATGAACTATGCGGTATCTTTGTTGGAAGCTGACTCATACACAGAGTACGATAGACCTACTGTAGGCCTCCGAAAAAGAAAGCTGACCCTCGCGGGCAAGGTTCAATCAAGCACGCGGTAAATACAACAACCGTGTCGCTTCACTTGTGGACTCAATCCAATCTTCGGTAACTTCAGCCGCCCCGTCGCCAATGGCACGCTCGGTGGAATACCGACGAATCGTATGACCCATGAACTTCAGCAATTTTTCGCGTGTATGGGCGATGCGAACTGGCCTACTCTCTGTGAAGATAGGTTGGTTAGCTCGAGGCGACGACATAACGTTATAAAATTGAACCTCATCTTGCAAATCGGGCGATCTACATTCAGCGGACGCTTGCACTTGAAGCCGTTACGTCCGCCCGGGCAGAATCACGCCTGATGTTTGCATGCAACGGTATCACAATATTGGGCACATACGGGTCGGCATGTTTGGCAGGCTGTGCAGGTCGAGCTTCAGGACAAAGAATACGACGGAGAGGAGGCCAAGGAGTGGAGTCTAAACATTGCGGACACAATCCGAGAAGGGGTCAAGACCCTCAACGTTCCACGGTAAGAAGCTATGCCAGAGATACCAACGAGTAACAACATAGGGTATCCCGGAACATATTCTCACACATATTTTAGGTCGCCCGCTTAACTTCGACCTACAGAAGAAACTCGGCTCTTCTTTTGACAAGATTCGTCGCTGTCCAGGCCCTACAGGAGAAAAGAAAAAAATAGACAAGTTGTCCCATGCACATGACTTGATCGACACCTAGACTTCGTGAAGGAGGTATAGAAGATGGAGGTAGGCGTGTACCTCTGACAGTCGCCAGAATTGCGTCCCAGCTGGGTACCTCCATGTGATCCCAGCTGGGTACCTCCATGTGAAGCAATTTCACGTCGACTGAGAGATTTCGGGTTGTGTTAATCATCTGATGTGCGTACAGGGTTTACTGCTTAATTAGACGAACAGCTTCGTTTTCCAGTAGGCCCACCTCTCTCTCTCGACTGCAGCAGACTTACTCCTCGGACCTGCACCACAGTAGTATGGCAACCTCCACACATTCTCCAAGGTAGACGATTTGTACTACGACCGACACTGGGTACCGTATCACAACAAGCAATAAGCGGCTTGTCCTTGCACCAATCCGATCCAACCACAGGTACAAGATAGTGGTGCAGGTGACGATCGGGCAAATGAAAGACCAAGGAGTGAGGGTGGCGTCACGCTGCTTGTGGGACACGGCGACAGATAACTATGCCTCAGTTCAGTTCAAGAACCAGAGCCTGTGGTGCTCGGCGATGGTGTTTGGGGTGTACACCGAATAGCCGACCGAAGTGATGAGACTTTGCCGATGATAGTCTGAGATCGACGAGTGCTCGTGTTGCTGCGATCAGCTATCAGTGATACTGCTGCCCCCCTGTTGATTCGTCGACGAGGCATTCTCGCTGGCAGAATCTTAATGTTGTTGTACAGTATTGCTCGTACGTTAGTTCGGGTTTGGTTTTCGGTCAACGAAGACTCTCCGCAGCGGCATGAAAAAACACTCATTCCTTCGTCCCTTCGGTTTTTTCTCCATGGCGTGGCAAACTATTTACCCAGACCCATCGTGCCTGCGCTACCATGTCCCGTACAGGCAATACAAATCTTGAGGAATGTGAGACAACCTCTAAATGCCTCGATTACGCGTTTATCTGTGTACCACAAAAGAAAATAACAAGTGGGGCGAAGGTACAGCCTTCATAAGCGGGTCAAGGACACCGTGTACGCAAATTGACAAAGCCTGACAGTTTGTACAATCAACACTTGGTAAGAGACAACCAAACACTCTTGTCGCCTATGTAGCGTGCTGCGATCCAAACCAGGGCACGCGGCCATCGAGTGCGCCGTGCAGGCTCAAAACAACCTTAGTACCCCGGAAAGACAAACAAAGGTGTGCCTCTGATCAACTACGAGTCTGTGGAAACGTTCCAGCCCTCCTTTTGGTGCAGCCCTACGTCTGGGCGCCAGAAAAGCGAGCTGTTCACCGATGGCACCGAGAATACCGTCCCCGCAATAGCCCCGAACGCGACTCCGACCCCGGTTCCCATTGTATCAGACACCCCGGGCTCAGAGTGATCCGTTCTTGTGCCCACCACACGGTCGTCGTCAACAACAGCCTTCGCCCCAGCTGAAACAGCGGTATCCCCTCCTGAGAAACCTCTCCTTGTGCCCTCACCCGTACCCAACGGTGCCCCAGATGATGAGCCAATGATTGACCTCGTGGCGGCCTCCTCGACCCTGAGACGGTGATGCCACAGCGCCCACGATGTGGTGGGAAAGGCAAGGGTATCCCACGGAATATCTTCCCATCGAACACCAAATACCTGCACGTACGCGAAGGGAATGGAACACAATCTATTGTGAGAGGGCAGCTCCATGCTTGTCGCAAGCAGATGATCAGGTAACCAGCAACCAGCTCGCTACATGCACCGTGGTAGAATAGACCCAAAGACACACAGAGTCGATTCATGCGTCTCATCTCCAATGTACTTCGCACGGACGCGCCAGCAGAAGACCACCCGCGGGAATCGATTGTGGACGTAATTCTCCCTCGGCAGCTCGGGCGCTCATTGGATGTTTGGCTAAACGTGTTTACAACGTCGTGAGTAAAAACTCCTGGCATGCATGGAAATTCAACTACGGCGTGCCACCCCCTCCGCCCGCCACAGATTCAAAAAGTACGAGGCAAAAAAACACCATGGCAAGCCAATGAGTCAGTTGAAGAGCCTAACTGCGGGTTATACCACAGCCAGAGGTCGTCATTCTGTCATTCTTGGCACCGTACGAATTGACGCAGAGTTCGTGCCTCGGTCCAGCACTAGTCGCGGCCGGAGTCAACCGTAGTCATAGTGCACTTGCCTCGTCTGTTTCTTGGCCTGCAGAGAAGCTGTGGGCGTTGTCGGCCAATGTGTCATTCGCTCCTTGGGTGTCCTTTAGTTCCGACGAGTAGATCATCTGGCTTCACCGTTTAAGATCAACAGAGGCCAGGGACAGAGGTAGGGAGTGTCCCGCATCATCACGTCGAAGAACTCAACGGCTCCAAGAACAAACGAAAATCCCTTGTGCAGGAGCAAAGTATTCGGGCGCCTTCTTTTGGGCAAGGCAATAGCAATTTACCCTACATTATGGCCCAATGTATTTTTCGGCCAAGAAAGTGGTGAATATCCTCGCCCGGTTCTTGTCAAACTGCGGCGAGAGGTTAGGCCCAGAACAATCGCCTGGTCCAAGCACCTGAACACCTGGCAAGGTTAGTTCACCATACGGGTAAAACTGTTTATGTTGAAATTGGCAAGGAGGGCTTTCCTCTTCACAGATCATACAAAAGCAATACCGCTTCCACCCACAATATGCAAAACCAAAGTAAAAAAGGTCAGGCCTGCCTACATTTGGCCGATGTGTGGCAGGGAGTACACGGCAAGAAGCCCTCCAACATCCACATCGGCGTTCATCTCTTCCCTCGCTTCCCTCGCCGCCCCCTCCTCGCCGGTTTCTCCAAGCTCTAGAAACCCTGTTGACAAAAACACAACCCGCGATTTGTAAGGCAGAGAGCTGTGCTTGTATCCATGCCTCGAACAGAGTAAAATCAATTCAATGCACCCGACTTCGGAGAGTCGCATCGACTGAGGTGCCGAGGGTGCCTTGGTATACGTTACAATGCTGTTGGTGCCGCCGGGGCGCGACCCAGGCTTCGAATCCGATCCTCTCTTCACACAATGACGAGGAGCGCATCAAGCGAGTAACGTTTTCGGGAGTACTTCGAGAGCTTTCCGCACATGTGCAGGTCCGCACAGGTGCCTTCTTCGCTGCAAAAACAATTTACTCACAAATGTCTCACAAGGAGGCAAGAACTGGAACAGGCTTCGACTTCATCGCACCTGCAGGTATGCCCCAAAAGCCTCGTCGTGGCTGTATGCTGCGGCGGCCAAGTACATAAAAATCGTCCTTTCCGTCGGCGCCTCCCTTCGCAGTAAGCACCGAGCCGCATATGACCTTAGGGTTTTCATCTTCCCCCGTACAGCGCAGCGTATCATCGCATGCACACGGTTATACTTCACAATAAATGTGGTTTCGTCGCAACCAAGGTCACCGGGGATCCGATGGGATAGGACCGCGGCACACCAGGCATATGAAGCCGGTCGGTTGTCATCATCACCTCGAGTGGATGCCGGGGTCCCGCGGATGGTATTAGATAGGAGTGGCATGTTGCAAAAGGAGGGCGTGGCATGGGTAGGGAGCTATCACGCAACCCCTGCGCGGCCTCCTGCCGAGAAAGGAAGGCGAGGTGTCATCTACCCGTTGCTGTTGGGAGACCGGAATTATCCCGCCTTGTCTTGCCAACTACAGAACGAGGCTGTACAATGGAGTTTAGGCACAATGGGAGCCAGCAGAACACGGCAGTAAAAAAACATTTGTGCAGCATACTGCAGTCAATAGCGGTCGTCGGGCTACCAATGAGGTCGTCGGACTACCTGTGTGCCTTGTACACGATCTGGGAACGACGCCACGAGTCCAAATTTTCGTTCATGACACTTGTGAGGAATCGTACGTCAATCAGTCATGGGTCACTACGGCATACGTGCAGTGCCCTCAACATTAGTCGAGCAGGGCGCATGCATAAACCCAGCGGGGACTACCACCAAAACTACAAAGACATCATCCCAACACGCAACAGAGCAGCCTCATTCACGTTTTACCCACTCGTCTCGTGCACATATTAACCAAAGCAAGCAACTACGGGTGTATTTTGCCGACAGTCCGGGAACCTCCACGCCAAGTCAGGAGAGAAAAGAAGAGAGAACCAAAGGATTGTGTAGGCTCTGTTCACAATCTTGTGGCGAGAGGGTCGCAATCAGATTGGCTGACACGGTCAAGCTCACGGGTTGAGATCTCGCGAGCGAACAACGGTTGCGCATTCACCGACGCGAGCGCCAAGAAGGGCTCGGGCATGTAATGCCGAAGGGTACTTCCACGAGCTGGCAACGGAGAAGGCCTGCAGGCTTAGGATCGCAGATGACTCACGGCGAAAACGCCGAAGCGTGTCTGCAACATTGCGCGAACGATGTGGCATCTAAATATCGCTCCCGAGATAACCATAACTCATTGCGAAGTTGTACAGAGGTATGGACTGTGCCAAATCACGTAGCTTTGCCCGGTGGCGAGCTCCGAGTCTCTGCAGAACGTCACCTTTCTTCCGCGTCGGAAAAGAAACTCGTAGAAATCACCTACTCGCGAGTTCTCTTGAGGGACACAACAGAGAAGCCGTTCTCTTGCACCAGGTGGCTGCCATGAACCGCAGAGTAACCCTCCCGTGTGCCCTCGTATCGGGACCCTCGTTGAAACCGCCTGGGAATAACCGGGAATGACTAGTGCTGAGCCAAGAAGAGGTGTTGCGAGCTTTCTCGGTGGAGATACAGCACTGACATACCCTTCAATCTCAAGTCAACCTAGACGCGCAGAGCAACCGCGTGTCAGTGAAACCTTTCTTTCATGGACTCGGGAGAGGATGTTTTCGGCAGGTCGCTACGAACGAGCCTTGGGACTACCGTGCGTGGTACCAATTTGGTACAAAATTCGTGGACGCACCCCCTCGCGTGCTGCGAATCCTTCACAAAGCGCCGCACGAGTGCGTACGCTGGGTGCTTCACTCAGAACTCGCTCGTAGCAGCTGGACGCTATTGGCGCAAGGTCTTGAAGGTCAAGATCCGCCTGTCCATACGTCGCTTTCGAGCACGTCCGATTTCAGGCGAAGAAGCAGCCGAACTATTGTATACAAAGCGAGAGAGACGCCACTTTGCCCAAAGCTCCCCCGAAGCAAGCGCAGCCATTTGTGTCCAGCTGGGAGCACCCTACGGGGCACCAGCTATATTCATGGATCCTGTGGGTCATCAGGGGCAAAGCACTTCGGTGTTAAGCCTTGCCGCCCGAACCACACCAGACCTGCGCTTGTCCCAACAGTGCCTCTTTCTGAAGCCCCTGCGTGTTGCCTCCGAGATCCCCGCGTACCACGTGAGAAGGCTGCACTGGCGCAGACTGTGAAACTGTGAGAAGCAACCTAGGTGGTAGATATTCGGGCCGAACGTTGGCTTGTGGGGGGGGCAACAACATCTATTTCCGGGGAATCGTCCAAGAGAAGCTGCTTCCGTGCGAATACTTCACTTTGTCACGTCGTTCACTTTCAGCGAAACGCATTTATATATCCATTGAAACGTCCCTGGCGGTGACACCGCCTTCTTCCACCTTAAACCGTGCATAATTTAGACAGTACATCCTGTATCCTTCAAGGTCGCGCAATCCGTCGGTGACGCAGTATCTGCACATGCCCAGCGCCCACCAGACATACATGGCGTGGATTGTGATGGTTATCGGGCAACGGCAACGGTCCGTATGCATAGACGATACGACCGTTGCTTACCCGTCGAAGTTATACAGAACACCGAGACAAGGTGTAATCGGCTCGAGACAAGCGGCCAGGATCATCGCTGCCTGAGTGCCGTGGTCTTTCAACGGAGGAGCTCGATTGCTCCACAACGAAGGGTACCAAAACGACCGACTAGTCCAATGGTTTAATTTCGGCTTCTATATGTGACAGCCGCACTCATTGCGGTGTACATCACGCAAGTCCATCAAGCCATCAACTTACAGTCTATGCATAGCCTATGTAAATAGCAGAGATAAAACGAGCAGACACATGTAGTATGTAGGACCGCCTTACGCGGGAAATTAACCCCAACTTCCCCGATTGTATTCTTTATCCAAAATGTTTGCTGAATGGAAAATAACTTGCGAAGGCTACTGGGACCGCCTTACAGAGGCTACATGATACAGATTACTGTACACAGTCTACAGAACCCTTGTGAATCCCTTGTGGAATCAGTAGGTTTCCACAAGGCATGCACCAGGTACAGCAGTAGTTGGCGAACGCTTGACTCACAATTGACAAACCCGCAAGTGGTGCACGTCTTTCTGGGCTTGGGATCGTCGGTCGACTGCACCTTGTACTCGAACGAAGGAGAAGGTCGTGCTGCTGCTGCGGTTGATGTTCGCAACCTTTTCGCCGCTACCTGTACCCGTCGCCCAATAAGCACCGCCGATGACCTTGCTGAAGAGATCATGGTACCATGTGTATCCACAATCCAGCTCCTGGAGCCGACTGGAAAGTTTCCTCTTTAGCCGATACAGCACAGCAGTGGCACGTGACCAGAGAGAGGCAGAGTAAGGCAGCTAGAGAGTTGATAAGTGGGGTGAGGGCAGGAGGGAAGGGCAAGAAGGCGGGGGGCGGGGGCACCGCCTTCGCGTATGTTCTGGGGGTGCGCTCGCGATTGCGCCGCACGTTTGGTTCTTCGCTGGCTCTCTCTCCCTCTCGCGTGTGTGCGGTGCAGCCGTCTACCTATCTATCGCTCGCGCAGCACCTCCGCCTTCGTTCCAAATGAAGGGCTTCGAAGGATTCTTCTCCCCGCTTCTAACGCTCCCGACGGACACGAACACTGCACGTCGACCATGGGAGAGAACCGACAAGAACCTAGGCGACAGCGGTGACCCTAACGGTCCGTCAGAATCGCCAGCATCGTCATCGCACCCATCACAGCTACACCCTGAACTTGCTCCTGTCTCCACTTCGTCGTTCGACTCTATTCCGAGTCCAGTGAAAGAGGTATTGCGCCCTTGTTGCTCTGCTGCGTGAACCGGGGCGGTGCTCGGCGAACCACTTTGTTGTGTTGTCGTCAACTGCCTCCCGGTAGAGGTAGCTAGAGTGAAATTGGTTGTAAAATCTCTCCGCGTGCCACGTGCCGTGCCCTTTTGCCAGAACAATCCCGAGAACAACCGCGAGCTTAGGCGACGCCTCACGGCGGCAGCAACGGCGGCAGCGTCACAACGACTTCCACGGCGAGAACCAAAGCACGACGAGTACGACCACGACCACCGTGAAACTCGCAGAAGCAGGCCGGCTAGGACGTGCTTGTGTCGACTTTGCACCGGGTAAGCGGTGCAAACGGTACACAACGTACTTACATCAGTTCTTTCCGAAACGGTTCCCGCTTGTCTGTAAGAATAGCTGGTTCTCTTGCCTGTAAGCCCCTCCTTCAGAAAGTGCTTGATAAAATGCTGCGAACTTCTCTCTGCTGCTGCCCATAAGTGAGACGGAAGTGATGGTGTCGTTCTCTACGCCCCTCTTTGGAATTGACCACTCTACACGTGGTTTCACGAGTTGCGAACGTGTACGCTACATGTACGTGTTTCAGAATGTACTGTAGTGTAGACATGGCGAATGTAGGAATGCACCTGCTCACGGCAGTAACTCCATACTTCATCTCCAAGAAACGAGTTTATGTTTCCTAATCTCTAAGAAACGAGTCTAAGATAGATTAGCAATGAAATAAAAGCGTCGAATAGAGATAAATAATTCGATGAAACGTGTGGTCTACCCGGAGATGTTCTGAATTCCTGGTTTGAAGTTTGAAGTTTGAAGTTTGAAGTGTGACGTGAGTGGGGAGCCGGCACATCATACGATGCTCCAGGCAATCAGGTCTGAAAGAGGCACCACATGCCTAATCCACCTTTCGCCAACTACAGAGGCCACTGCCGCGAGACTAAATATTGCCTTCGGCAGGCTTTGCGAAGCGTTCTGTTCTGTTTGAGCGAGCACGAGCCACAAGCGCCGACTAACTCGCGCCAATTTGGGTTGCACTTCGCCAAACTCGTCTGTTTGTGTGTTTGGTTGGTTGCTCCATGTGTATTAATACCTGTGTGTGGTCGAACACATACGTGGGAGAGAAACTAATTTCCGGCCATGACTCCAAAGCTGCTGATGGTGTTACAGCAGTAGCGGCCTTTCGTGGCGTCCCGAAAACAGCGCGCGCTTCTAGTCTTTTTTCGTGTTGATGTTGTTCTTTTGCTCTTTAGGAGGAGGCCGGTATGGTCGTTTCTCTCCGCGTGATGAGTCCACGGGCATGTCAGAAACAGACGTTCGCCTGGCCATCTCCACAACCAGTGCCTTGATGTGAGGTTCAATACACACGGTTCGCAGGCTTCCCCAGAGGCTGGCGCTTCGTCCCTTACAAACCGCGGACGAGCCAAAGAATAGACTGAAGCGTTCTTCCATGATACCGATAACGTTGATTGAAATATCCGAAGGAAAGCGTGAAGGGCGCAGTGTAAACATGGCACGTGTTTGTTTTGTTGCGGCTGTTCTCTGTCAGCCTTGACGAGGGTGTCCCCGGCCGAAGCATCAGAGGGTAAGATTGTGAGGCGCTCAGGGCTGAAAGAGCTACAGTTTTCGGCTACGCGTGTACTTTCATATGACGGTTGAAGAATGCCGCCGAGATACCGCAGTGAAGCTATTCCATTTCATTCACGAGCAGCGGTAAGTCGGTGTACCGGCGTCTTCTCTCATTTGGTTCCAGCTGCGTTGCTGTCACATGCTCGGGGTATGACGGTGATGCCACCCACGTCCTCGTTGCCACGCCCTCCTGAGTTCTTCGCTCCCCCTGCATCCCCTGGCTTTCCCTATCGACGTTCTCTCTGGAACAGGGTTTTCAACCCGTCAACACGTTGTTGACATTGGTTCAGAACGCCACGTCGTAGGCAAGAGCAGTTTGATGACAATTACGGTAGCCTTGATCGTGTGACCCTTTTCCTTGTGCCTTTCCAAGCCCTCGTGCTCTCTTCTGCTAGCTCTCGTTGACCTTTCTTCAGATCCTGCGGGGATATTTCGAGAGTCCCGTCGTTTCTCGCTATTCTTCTGGATATGTCCACCCAACCTCCACTTCGGCATACCCTTCGTGAGCATCGCGGACACACAGCGCACCTTTGCCTTATCTACACCTGAAAGAGACTTGCAGATTTCCTCGGCCCTGCGAACAAGACACGATCTCCACAACAATACTGAACCGCTTATTTCCTTTTCGGCGGCTTAAAACCCGACTCGTGCTCATTAAGCTCACTGTGCTGCCTGCGCTCCATGACTCATAGCTTCCTTGGGAATATTCTCCGTTTATGCCCTTACTTCGCTGCCATCCCGTCTATTTCCGCTTTTGTGCGTGATTTCGGCACGTTTGATTCCAGGTTAGCAATCTTGGCCTTGGTGGGCATCGTTCTCGTAACCCGGTTGGTCATACATTTCAAGAGCGGCAGCATACCAGAACAGATTGATGATGTCGTGCGACCGACCTGTGTTGTCGAAACGGGGGCGGTCGACATCGCGTCTTCTGAACCAGATCCAAAACACCTAGAAGCCCCTTCCTCCATTGCGGGTGTACAGACCGGGCTAGAAGACGAAGACGAAGGGGAGGGAGAATCTGCACCGGCGTTGCCCAAGGACACACCGCCGATTTGGAAGACAACGTCAGTACACGTGCCGAAGGCCACCCATGACCCCGTCCCTTATAAGGACAACCCGGGAGAAGAAGAGGGGGCAGCAGCAGCAGCAGCAGCAGCAGCAGCAGCAGCAGCAGCAGCGGCAACAGAAACAGCAGAAGCAGCAGCAGCGGCGGCGGCGGCAGCAACAGCAGCAGCTGCAGACGACGACGATTCGTGTTGGATATTCATGCATATGGACAAGAGCGGCGCTTCAGGGGCTCGGCGTGTCGCCACGGAGCAGTGGCGGAAGGATGAGCTCGTGTTCGACACTGTCCAGTGGCGCCGGGGTGACGGCTTTGCGGCGGACGTCATGGCTTCTCGCTGGAAACTCCTGCATGGAGGCTGCGTGGAGAGCCTTCGGAACCATAAGGGACGGTCGTGCAAGTGGATCACCATCTTCAGGCACCCGATCGCGCGTCTTTTATCCGCGTATGACCATTGCCTGGGGGCCCCCAAGGACCCCGTTTGCCCACCCACCGAATCGACGGGGTTGGCAGCATTTGCGGAACTCTGGGGTAACTTTGCCATGAGACAATTCGCGCTGGCGGCCGTATCACCGTCCGCAGTGAAGGAATGGGCAGCGCAAAGGCAAGCACGAACGGGTACGTCCATGTGGTACCTTGTCAAGGAGTACCTGGCTCGGGGAGGGATAGCTGAAGACGAGGTGCTCGGGAGCAAGCTGGAGCCTGTGAAGGGGCTGCTTAGCACGCAGTACGCTGCTGTCGGCATAGCCCAGGAGCTGAAAACGACGATGGTTCTGTTTAGCAAGGCGCTATCTATGGAAGGTCTGGACTGGTCGTCCTCGTGGGCGACACTCGGCATCAACGAGGAAGACAAACAAGATTCAGAGTACGACATAACTGAATCCGAACCATTTCGCCAGGCTCTGGAGAATCCTAGAATTGTTTCTGCCCTACGGTTGGATATGTCTCTCTACGAGCATGCCGTGCACGTATTCAAGGATCAAGTTGCCCAATTTGGAATTGAGTAAGGATGACTGGCTACTGCAGGCCGTAGGTTCGATACCATGGTTGTTTTCGAGAAGTGCTGGAACCAACGTTGCACCTACGCAACCGGCCGCAATCAGATTTTAGTGCTGTACCTGGAAGGGCTTAGACCTGTAAAGGGAGGGGCGGTGCATGACCCCATCCATATTATAGTAGCCGCAAAAGTTCGCTTGTTTCGAATGTCTTGTCTTGCTTGCGAACGTCCTAAGCCCGGATGCATGCATACGGGGTTTGTTTTATGCCCACACTTGACGCTGTTTTGTGTCGAGGGATGCACAGCACATGCCACACCTACGATAACATATGTATGCAAGGTAAGCCCCTGCAGCAGTAGCGATTTGTTTTTTGTTGGGTATTGCGCTTGGCGGTAGTATTTGCGGAAGGTAGTGTTGGAGATTATTTGAATCCTGTTATTTTGACGTCTCTAGTTCTAATTATTATTATTTTCATTATGTTTTGGAGTATTAGTGAACCGGGCGCCGAAGGCAGGGCTCGAGCGGTTGTAGAACGTGTTTTGTTGTGTTTAGGGAAAGGTCCGTACCAACGCGTCCCGTGGCACTGGCCCGCCACATTGGATATCGTTTGTGAGGACGGATACCCGCCTCTTCCCACAGCATGCTTAATAGATCCCCGATTTCCTTTCATTTCCTCAGCCTTTCTGTTTGCACACTTGAGATAGTGTTCGTCGGCTCCTTCTCTCCCGAGTCTGTAGCCGCCTTGCACTTCTGCTTGGGGCACCGTGCTCTGTAGCTTCCTTTCGCATTGGTCTTCTGGTTGTAGTTTCGGCCTCTGGTCGATCCTTTGGGGTGTTTAGATGTCAGCGTCGGAGTTGCAGCGCCCCTCCCAGCTTTTTTCCCTTTTGCGGGCCATAGACTATGTGTTTGGGGATTCTTAGTCGTAACGTACAGTCTTGTAGCATTTGTGGCGTGAGGTTGTATCTGTTGTTCCGATTCTCGCGCAATTAATTATGAATTATTAATCGTGTTTGATTGCAGAACGCGCCACCACGTAGGAACCGCTTATTTTGGGTGAGGCTCGACGCTTGTTGTTGGCACATGTTCCTTGCTCCACGTTCTTATTATTTTGGGCAAGCATCCACCTGGGATAAACGGGGTTCTTGTTCGACGCCGATTGCCCCATGCAGAGGATGCAGGTCTTCCTGGGCAGATTTCAACGCGAGACTACAGTACATTTAGAAAAATACAAGAGCGTATCGCCCCCCCCCCCCATCTTGCCACTTTTCCTCGCCTTCGGCTTTTTTTGCTGCGTCGACGTCTGACTATACCACCACCGTAATTTCGCTCTTTTTTCCACCACCAGGAACAGAAGCGAGAGAAAACCTCACTTTCCACGAAAACCTCACTTACACCGGATTCGAACCACTTATCCTAGTCGCTAGAAGGTTGCGAGGACACCATAACTACTACTACATACAATATATACTGGGGGCGACTGCCAAAATGATGCGAAACAAGGAGAGATCAGCTTGCCAATGGGTCTCGCGAACATCCACCAACCAACCATCTTGTAACAACAATAAATACCGCGGGGCCCCCTCGATAACGCCGCTGTATGTGCCCGGCGCATCGACCGGCGCTATTCAACGTACAGAACGACTTGGCGATTCAGTCTGTGCCTGGCAAGTTCGCCGGCGGCGCTATTCAGGGCCACCGGCGGCGCTAATCAACCGGCGTTCGTTCGTTGTCGACGCGCCCCCCGATGCATACAGGGAGCAGGGTCCGATAGGTCGGCATCACCTTACATTTGTATCTGCCTCGCCCTCTTTCTGTTAACAACAATACGAATGGAGACGCAAAAATAAAAATATAGAAGAGGCAACAACGTTACGTTTTCGAACACGCTAGATTGTACACGCTACACATCCGTTTTTGCCAATAATCACTCGCTCGCAAAGAGATCGCAAAAATCGCAAAAAAAATAAAAAAATGAAATGGGGGGTCGGCAGCCTCTTCTTCTTGCGATGAAGGTATGGGTACGTACGGTAGTGTCAATTACTCACGGAACCTCTCGTTGTCCCGCTCTTCCCCCCGCTGGGCTGCCTGCTCGCCTGCATGGCATGCTCAGTTGACACCCATCCCCAGAGCGGAGGCTGTCGTTTGCATGAAACAGGCGACGGAAGCAACGAGGAGGGGCTGGATTCTACTTCTGTTGGTCCTAACCGCGCGTTGCCAGGCTTGCGAGGCTGGCTCGGCAGCGGGGGCTACCAGCTGGCGAAAGAGGGGGGTGCTAAATACCGCATCGTGTGCTAGCGATGGAAGGCACAGCAGCCGATGCTGCCGAATAGATGAAGCTGCCAGGAGTGTTCTTGGGCTGCGAGGAGGCTCGGGAGCGAGCATTGGAGGAGGCACCAGTGCACCAAGAGGTGTGGCACATGACGGACATGGTAACATGATCGCACGATATTGTACCTGCAACAAGCGGTAGCATATTGAACAGCAGGAGGGCGAGGTAACACTGACCGGACCTCCAGTGATGCGACTGCCCGTATCATATGCATGTACTGTACACGGCTGTAGCACACAACAGTGAGAGAGAGTACCTGCCGCGTTATGCCCTGTTCAGGAGAAGGAAAATTACAGGTCGGGTGCGTGTTCTGGGCACCTCATCTGTATCCAGCACAGGTCCAGCAGTATCTCCGCCGTGCCCCTGCGTCCTGTAAGCAGTCTTCTCTCTGGCAAGATGTACCGTATATGACACAAGATAACACACCCCCTTGGCCGATTTTCAAAGCTCGATTTCTCAACAGCAGGAAGAGTCACGGCGCCGAAAACGGCAGCGTTGGAATCGTCTCGTCGAGAAATTTTCGAAAATGTATCGTTTTGTTTGTGCATCCTCTTCGTCGTGGAGTAATCGAGCTTTGGAAATCGGTCCAGGGGGTGTGTTATCTTGTGTCATATACGGTATGCATACTGCTGTAGACTATTCCATTTTCAACCAAGGGGCGATTCTTGGCCGCGCCTCTCTGATTTCTTATTTCGTACCATATTACGTCTGTTTCTCGTGCTTCGACGTACCACGTATATGTATGCAGCTGCTTGCATTCAACTCCAACGCTTGTTTTTGTCGTTCACGCTTTTACATGTGACATGGCATCTGTAATGCAACATGTTTGCGCTACACCCTTCTATTTCTTCTACACGGAGAAGCGGCGGGACGCTGTATCTGGACCTTGGGTGCTATGGTTGGCTGTACCCTTTTTTGGCATCAACCTCTGACGGCGGAAACTCGTTTCTTTGGCCCGACTGTGCAAGAGAAGGAGGAGTCCTACTGGATAGCGGTTGAAAAGTGCCCACAGCACGAAACAGCAAGAACAACCCCAGGCAAAACATAGTACCGTCTTACCTTTCAAAACTGGTGCAAACAACAGCAACAACCAACCTCTACCATCTGCATGCGTTTTCGGAAGAAGGCGGCCGTCTGCACGGCGGAGACGCCGACCTCAGCGCTGGCGGTAATGTTAGTCCTGATGGAGTGAAGGAGAACCAAGAGCACAAGGGTGGACTGGTAGAAGAGGCGGAATGGCTTGACCGCGCCGAGTCAGGCGTGCAACCCAAAACTGCCCCCGGTAAGAGAGAATGTTATTCCGCGTGCGGACGTTTCCCGTGTATCCTCAGTTGTGTCGTGGTGATGGGGACTACGACAAAGTGTCAGCCGCAGAGCCTTGCATCATTGTTTGGAAGGCGAACGTTGCGCTACGAGCACGTCCTACCTAGGTTTTGATTCGATTTCCAGTCGATTGAAGTCATGGTCTGTAGACCCTACCTTTCTTCGGCTAGTCAACCCGATGTTTTCACTACGCCATGCCCTGTCGCAAGCTGGGTTCGCGGGTTGGTGGATTTCTAACCCGAGTATCGCCAAGAAGACTGGGCGAGTGGGAGTATAGGCATGGGCAACTGTTAATTTGGTAGTGAAGGGATATGTTGAACATACCAGCTGTACTCTCGACGCCGTCCCGTTAGCTCCCCCGCGTCAAGGGTGTGAATTGCTTGCTGAAAATGCAGACCTTACCCGGCTCTCTTTCGTGAAGGTTTCTTTATGTTTGCACTGCTATGCCGCAGGGCATTCGTGTGGTACCACTTGCCTGGCGCCCCCCGTCCGGGTTGGCACTAACGTGTGCGGTGCCTCCTTTTCTTTTGCAATATTTCTGCGCTGGTCGGTAGAGGTAGGAGTGTTACACCCGATGCCTAAATCGAAAGCGCACGTACTTTCAACATCGTAGGATAACTGAGCGCCTCCCAGAGACCGTACCCTAGCTTGGTTCCCCAACCAAACCTAACATAAAATCGAACGAGCCCGGCTAGAACGAGGAGTGATCGAAGATGTTGAGGCTAACAACGACCGTTACCCATCCATGACGCACGTATCCGCATGAAGCGTACCAGCTGGTGTTGCGGGGTGGCTTCTTGCTGCTGGTGTTTCTCTTCCCCCTGCTGAGCGCGGGCCTTGCCTATCTCTCCTCTTGGTTCAGAGAAAAGGTGCGTGACTTTGCATTCTTTGAGGCGTTGTTTTGTACTCCTCCCTGCGGTTGCTACCTGCTTTCGATTAATCCAACTGTTGGGTACTGCTGTAGTTCGATCTGTTTTCATGGATTCCATCCCTTGAGCCCCACCCTGAAGCGGTTGTGCCGTCTGTGGTTGTGAACGCCTTGCGTGCAGTCCGTCACAACAAGAAGACTAGCTTCCAGAATTCCAGTTGCGGGTAGGATTTTTTTTCTTCGGACGGGTGGACTCCGAGCGGACGAGGTCTTGGAGTAGGTACTATTGGCCGTGAAGTTCGGATAACCGAATACGCCTTTGGGAAGCTTGTGTTCGGCCTGGTCGCATGTGAGTGTTCAAGTGCGAAGCCTGGACGATACGCGAGTAGAGGGCAGCTGCCAGTCCCACCTCATGCAACCTCTACGCGAAGAACAGGCCTACTGCAACAGCCGTGCGCGTTTGTATTGGCAGCCCCCTTTCGCACGCGGTTGTTGTGACAATGTTATTGTCCCAAAACATGTGGGCCTTTAGGAAAGACATGTCAAGCGGATGAACAAATTCAGAGGAGGAAATACCATCGAAATCGGTAGGTATGCGACGCACATCTCTCAACTGTACCTTACAGCATACTTCAAGCCTGGAAACCATAATATCGACGAAAGGCACTGCTAGTACTGTCATGGTGTCTGCATTCAAACCCTTTTGTACTCGTTTTACTGCAACAATGCATCGCCTGCGCGCCCGGTTGTATGACGATTCGTTCCGTTTCTTCGCGTAGTGGTGAAGTAGACGGCCGTGGCCTATACTTGGCGAGAACGCACGACGCGACAAGTTCGGTAGTGGTAACCGATTGTTGGTCCAGTAGGTGTGCTTTTGTGGGCATTCGCGTCGAGGGGCTATTCGGAGCATTTTTACTTTCGCCGTTGTCTCAGACAACAAGACACGAAAATCGATGCAAACCCGTCTCACGGCACAAAGCATTCCACAAATCGATCACAGCACTCAATCCGAAGGGCCGTGTGTTTTGTTGGTAAGTAAGCTTGGGAGCTTCATAGTGAGGTTCATGAACAAATGAACGCCAACGCGGTTACGTACCAGGCTTGGTCCAGACTAGCCTAGCAACAGCTGCTGAGTGCCGGTGGAATGCCATGCTGCAGCTAGGTACCGTCGCTCAACCATATGTCACCGAACGCCGAAACACCCCATGACGAACAGGTATGGTACCGAGCTTTGACATATTCCATCGGGAAGAGCGGCACGGCTTTCATCAAGTGGGGCCAGTGGAGCAGCACACGGCCGGACATGTTCCCTGAGGGGCTGTGCGAATCGTTGTCCGTGCTTCACAAGGGAGCCCCCTCCCACAAGCTCGCCCACACCAAGGTCTGGTGAACCCCTCAACAAATGTTCTGATCGTCCTTTGCGGTTGGCTCTGAAATCACGCTAGGTCGACCGTGAAGACACGCTCGTAAGCGTTGCCCTTGACTACCTAAGCCGTTGCATCTCACCCCTTCCGCTCAGGCAGAGTGAACTGATTCGCAAGCCAAGCGTTTGCTGGTATTGTTGAACCGGAGCGTATGTACAGTGCACTGGACTGTAGTGGCCCCGTCTCCGGTATTCAAGTGCTCAACATCATGACAGGTTGTTTTGTGACGTGGGGCCTATAGAGGATTCCCACGCGTACGTACACGATTGCTCGGAGTGTGTTTCTTTGCTTGCGATACTTTGTCCAAGCAACGTTTTTGGTCGTGTGGTTCTCGTACCCGTTGGACTTGCCCGGATTGGCGACTTTTGACGTCAAATGTTGGTGTTGTGTCGCTGTAGTCTCCTTTGCGCTGCTGGAGTGTAGCCATACCTTGCAGCGACTCTGTTTTTTTGCGCTCATACGGACCGCCACGGGACGAGTAAACTTCCGACTGCCCTGTCGCGGACCATGCTGAATCCTAGCTGGTCTTGCCCTTGTTGCGATGCTGCTGCCGTGCTTGTATCATCTATGCATACGCAATCCAAACCCTGCTTGTCGAAACATCTCGACTGTCGGGTGCCTTCTTTCATGATACCGACCCCATCGGATGCTACCCATCCCCCAGAAACTGGTGGAGCGAGCGTACGGCGGCCGGCCGATATCTGAGGTGAGTGCGGCCAAGGAGACGAGGGTTTTCCCCGTCGTTGCTGCTGCTGGCGAATTCTTTTGTGTGTGTGTTCGTGCGTGTAAGGCAGGAGGGTGAAAACACGAGAAAACATAGGGTTAGGAGGTTAGGGTTTAGCTTCAGGGTTGGTGTTAGGGTTGTATAGCCCAACGTCTCACCGGAGGACGTCAAGACCAAGACGTTCGATTTCTTACCTCAAGCTCGACACCTGTCGCTAAACCCTGTCACCAACGCGCTGTGCTGTAGCTACACAATTTGGGGAATTAGAAGGACAGAACGTCATGGGCGCGTTTTGCGCGACATGTGGTTGGTACGTGATTGTTTTTTCTACGGTGTGTTGGCTAACCTTTGGGGCTATGCTTTGATACCGTGGGCGAATCGTGTACCGGCTCCAACGTTTGTGCCCCCCTCAAACCGCTGTGTCCGCTGGGTGCCGTCATTCGATATCACGGCACGTCGCGGTACGACATCACCCGGGGGAAACAAAAGGTGTTCGCGTGGTTCGAGTCGAAGCCGATCGCAAGCGGGAGTATTGCACAGATTCACAAGGCCATCTTGAATGGGGAAGTGGTCGCCGTCAAGGTGCGTTTTGTGACCGAATCGGTATTCCAATCGTGTATGTGCGCTGTCGGAAGATTCCCCGGCTCATGCAGTGACTGGCGCTCTTTCGGAACAATTTGGTTCTCGCAGTCTTAGCACGTGGACGCTCTGTAATTGCGCCTGCCGGCGTGTCGCGGTGTGACGATTTGACGACGAAAACTCGCCGTGGTCCAGGTGCGACACCCCATGGTCAAGGAGCGCATGTTCCTTGACTTCCTCTTGATGAAGAAGATCGCATCCTTCGCAGATCGGAACCCCTCCCTTAAGTGGATGAACCTGGGCCCCAGCATGGAACAGTTCTCCAACACCATGTCGGCGCAGGTGGGATGTGTTTCCCTCTGACCGTGCGATGACTGTGCCGTGACCTGTGTCTAACCCTAGGCTGCGAATTTAGCCCACATAACCCTACGTGCGACATTAGCGTACTTTTGGGGGTCGCCGGGTGTCCCGGATACGGCAGTATTTTTTTTTGTTGACGTAAACTAGGAATGTGTGTGTGCGGGCCTTTTCGCGGTGCTGAAGTTGACATGCCCTGCCGGGCCACATATAGACTAGACAGGAAAAGTTTCAGACATGGTGGGAGCAAGGCCGAAGGAAAAGCGAGGCCTACGTTGCCTTCACGGTCAGGATTTCGATAGCAACGCATCGTTGCTGCTTCCGTGTCACCGAACGAAAGGATTATCATCCAAGGGTATCACGCAGCGCAAGGGGCTTAATTGCGCCGTCTTTTTGTGTGAACCAGGTTTCGATCTCGCACACGATGTAGGCCGCCGCCTCGAGTAGAGAAAGCAGGGACAAGTAGATGTGCCGTCGGGTATCGTTTGTGGTGAAGAACGTATGGATGCTGGCTGATGTGACTTCGTTGGTAAACAACGTATTTCCTTGAGATAGGGGCGTAGAGAATCAGCGTACGTCTAGCGGGGAAGCGGCCTCACGCGCCCCCCCTACAACCACCGGTCAACGCAGACCTTACACACACGTCTCTGCAGCCTACACAGCCCAACATCGCCATAAAACAAGCACGCCGTCGGTCTGTACGAATGCCTCGGTGGTAGGGTGGTTTCACGTCGCTATTTGTCGGTGTGCATTAAAGAGCCCGAACGGCCGACCTCTAAATAGAACTTCAACTGGTCCAACCTCTGTGTAATTAACCGGGTAGCCGTAATTTAACCCCGTTACACTGCACGTACGATACTTCCGAAGATGTTCTGCGTTCAGACCGGGAATGGTTATCTCCGGGAATGGGTATCTCGCTTTTCTGGCAGAGTCGATGCTGTCGAACCCCATGCGACCGCCACCACCACCACCACCACCAGCGCAATACGATGTTCTGCCATTGCCAAACAGTCTTGTCGTTTCTTCTGGCAAGCTCCCCATTGGTTACCTAAATAGTCGAAATGTTATGTTCTATGTTGCGGCGGAACAGACGGACCTGGTGCTAGAGGCGAAGTACCTCAACGAGTTCAACTTGAACTTTAACGGTGAAGCATGGTCGGACTGTGCCTTCCCCACCGTAATCCACTGTGTCGAAGACGTTCTGGTGAGCGGAGCATTCGGAGGAGGAGCCCTTTGCCTTGACTTTCGCTTCTTGTTTATCCTTGTTTGGCTCTGTTCGCTTACGCTGTCGGGTAGTGTCACGTACGTCAATTCTCCGTCGATTCCGGAGTTATGATGCACACAAGGTGTATTGTTTGGTCATCTACATTTGTTGCAGTCCTGACGAAATCACGGTCTCCTTTCGCTTGAATTTACACAACCGGCTGTTGCCACGTCAACCGATCTATCCGATCTATCTGCGTGCAGAACCGTAGTCAGAGTTTCTCATTCTGCGCCAGAGCGTTTTTTTTTTCAATTTTCCACCGTTCTTATCCTCTTTCTCTATCAGGTGGAGACGTTCGAAGAGGGCATCGTCGTTGCGGAGTACGCCAAGCTGTTTGCGAAAACCTCGCGTGATAAAAACGTGGGGTTGTGGGAGAGGGGATTGACTAAGCTCCTGGGCAGGCCAAGTCGGCAGCGGGAGGTGATTTGATGCACCTAACCTGTTGTTGTAGTCTTTGTTGAAGTTGTGGTACAACTACCTGGTGATGCAAGCATGAGCCACGACCTCTGAAAATCACAACCTAGGCGGCAGTCTCAAGGTGTTGAAGGAGGAGCACAGTACAGCAGCACAGCAGTAGATGGGAAGAGGGTACATTTCTCTACACGTGAGGAAAGCTTACGTGCTACAGCTGCCACGTTTTGTTTCGGTGATCACGGGCGAAACTCGCACGGAAGGTTGCTTGCTCTTGTTGTGTAACTGTGACCGATAATATACCTCTAACAGGCTGCCAGTCTTTCGATGACCGGCAAGCATTGTAGGGTCACCTGCAGGCTATTTTGCCCTCGACTTCGTTGCAGCTGATGCCGGTCCTTGTCCCGTGCGATCTTGGTGATTTCTGTCGTAGCTGTTCGACGCCATCTTCACATTAAGGTCTCCACGCAGCTCGTGTGCAGTATCCCGCACGCATCCCTGCGACTGACACACGAAGTTCAATGTCACAGGCGTTTGCAGAGTTGGAGCGCTGGCGGTGCCAGACTCAGCACAACCGCTTCAAGCATCAAGCATCAAGCATGCATGCGCCGTACCCTTGCTTCCCCTGGTTGTCTTTCGATGCCACGCTTGCTGCGCTGCATGGCCTTGATCGAACTATGTTTGTCGTTTGTATATTTTAATTGCGGTTTGCTGTACGTGTTGCATCCGCCGCGGCAGAACTCGTTGGAGGGAGAGAAACCGGATCCTGCCCTTGGGCATTTCATTGTTACCCGCGGGGAGGACATGTGGCTCAAGATGGTGCTCAACGACGGCTTGCTCCACGCCGATTTGCATCCGGTACGCACTGCTGTAGCGCGTGTGTTGCAACCCAGCCTTGTGTTGACAGAGTCGTCCTAGACGTGTTGGTGTGTCCACCACACGGCAATCTTGCCGCATCTCAGCGGCCGCGCCAGCTTGTGGTTGTCATCGCCATCGACATGCGATCCAAACGTCAACTCGAACGTTGCCTCAACCACCCGATGTTGGACTTTCGTATTTCATGTCGCTTCGACGTCAATCACCATCGCCATCGCCGTCATCATTCTCTTGATCGCGATCATCGTCGCTGCCGCGATCGTCGCCATCGCCATCTGTCGATCATGATGGGCACGGGCAGGGCAACATTCTCGTACATGCCCCGAAGGTGATGTGTTTTGCTGCTGATGAGGCCGCCGTTTTTTCTGCGCTAGTGTTGTCGGCATCTTCGCGCGTTTGACTGGTTCATCCCATCTCGTTGCGTCTTGCTAGTCCATTCGTGAAGGCAGTTAGTAGCGGGAGGAGTGCCGCAGGGCGCTCTGTGTTTGGCCCGCGGGTTGACAAGTTTGTCGCGAGAAATTTTTAACCCTGGGATTGTTGAACGAGGGGGGATCGTTTATTCAACAGCCGTAATAGGGTAGAACTCGCCCAGGGGCGTTCAACGTATTTTCAGCCTTCCGTCCTTCTTGTTGGGGGAGACTGGGCGTGTTGGGAGAGACTGGGGAAGCGAGGTTGTCGCAACTTTCTTCCTTGTCCTCATTCTGTCCTTTATCCAAATGTCCCTCGGGGCTGACGTGAACCTCGGCACCCGCAGGTGGGCATGTGTGTTCCTACTTCCACCCACCGTCTTGTGGTCATAGCCGCCTTAGCGGTATTCAGACAGACTACGGTTTTCCGAGGCAGACGTGTGTTCGATATCTCTGGGAAATAGTCGCAGAACACACGCAGACATTGGATGTTTCACATGGTTGCGAGTGACGTACGATAATGCCGTCCCGGACACCTTTCTAGTTATCCATGGTTGTATGTCACTTGGTGTGACAGTATCCTTGCACTCCCCCCGACCAGCGAGTCGATGCTCTTTGTGTACTTTTTTTCTTTGTACGGTACGTCTTTGTTCGGATGCTGTTCTGATTTTCTTGGGACGATTGGTTGCCTGTGTGATGGCGGTTGTTGCGCTCTATCAGGATGGTACGAGTGCACCTCGGTTGGTGCTCGTGGATGCCGGCATGGTCGCAAAACTGTACGGCCACCAGCAGCGACACTTCGTTCGACTTCTGGTGAGTACATCTCGTACCGCACACTGTTGTCGTTCCTGTTATCACATCAAGCATCGTATTGACGTCTGTCACCGTTCCCATTCCTAGGGCGAACGAATTTCCATGGCCGCGAGCCAAATATTTTCCAAAAATGCATCGTGCAAATACATATATACCATATTGAAAAACAAACTAGAGAAGGGCCGGCAGAACTTCCCGCGTCAAGGCATTTCTATTTCTCTACAAGTCTCTACTCTCCCAGACGTTACGCCTGGCAAACCGAATCACCGCAGACGACGCTGAGAGCGCTGGTAAACGCAGCGTTCGCGGATGAGTGTTGCGTGCCGCCCTCATTCTTTTAGTCTGCACCAGGATGACTGCAAGGAATCAGCGGCTTGCGGCTGCCCCTTAGTCCCGTTGAAAACCCGTCACATTCTGTATCCTTGCCCAGCTGTTGTGGCGTGTGCTCCGATGGAGAGGCTGGAAAGTATCGGCGTGTCCTTGAACGTGAGGCTCGTCCCCAAGGTCAATGACCTCCCCATTTACGATGTTCCGCTGAATGCATATCTGGGTTTCTGGTGGCACCGAGATAGATAGATTGATGTTGGTCATGCCGTTCCGCTCGCAGACGTACGCAAACATCACGCTTTCTCTCATGTTCGTCCAGGAATGCTTGGGATCGGGGGACGGGATCGCCGCCGGCCAGGCCGTGTTGCAGTTTTCGACGAAGCAGACCTGTGTAGGGGAACACGAGCAGGCGGCCTTTCTTGCGGAAATGGACAGCGTTTTCAAAGAGAAATGCAGGGGGTATCACACGGCAAGTACACTGATTCGCACTGATTCGGAACGCGCGTTTTTTAGCCAAGAACGCTTATCGGTTTGCACTGTGTTGGATGACAGCGACGTTAATCTACGTTCATCGGACCCTGGACGCAAAATTGTATGTAAGGCTTTCGTGGCAGTGCTCCTCTTAGGTTTAGGACATGTTGGGGTTGTCAATGCTATCGAGATCAGGCAATCTTCAATATCGCCCGTCCTCTCGAGGACGCGTGGTCAATGGTCTAACCGCAAAGGTGTGCAAAACATACGAGTACGCCCCCCCCTCGTCTGCTTTTCCCAGAACGTGGATGTGGGGAACATCTTGCGGGGCGTCTTAACCTGCGTACGGCGGCACTCAGTGCGTGTGGATGTGGAATACGCCACGCTGATTCTCAATATATTGTGTCTCGACGGCATGAGCAAGGTACGTCGCACTCGGATGTGCATGTCTGAGACCCAATTCTCTTTCACCAGTAAGTGGTGGAGAAAGCACCAGACCACGGTAGGAGGGCGAGTCTTCCCGGGCTATCCACCCGGCTCCGAGAGGCAAACAAGAATTCATATTGTGCATACGTTTCAAAACATGCTATAGCAATGATGATTCGAACACACCACGGAACGGCCCCTCAACCTCGGCCCACGCGGCACGAATTGATACCGATCGTTCTAGAACATGTGCTCCCGTGCTCTGACAGAGGGCGTGTGAAACGTGTCGGTTAGGATAATGTTTCCACGAGGTTGGGGAGCGGTCGGAGCTTGCCTTCGGGTTGGATTCTGGAGTTGATCCCCTTCTCTCGCCTCTTTCGCGTCCCGCAACTGACACTTTTCCTACACCCGTCATTTGGACAAGCGAGCACATGCTGCAAAAGGTGTGGTCCCATGCCCTCTCTCCAGTAGACGCCTGTTTCCGCGTCTTGGTAGTGTTGGTCTAAATTAAGTGGTCAGTCTGCGAGACGACTGTCTGCCATTTTGCAATGTCGTTTTGTTCGGCTCAAGAGCAGAATGATCAGTGTCGTTGCCACATGTTGCGTTTGAAACAAGTTTGTTTTTTTCGTTCCCGAACCGGGAGAATAGCGCAGCCGTTATCTCTTTAATAGCGTGCCTGGGGTTTGTGCACGACTGCCGAGATGAGTTTCATCTCCGAGCATTTTACCGTCTTCACATCAAACGTCAAACACCAAAAATGACGAAGTGGTAATATATGCAAGCGTTTGTTCGTGGTGATAGTGTCCTGTTGAAAGTGATCACTTGAACAGAAAGTTCAGTGACCCGTGGAGGCCGCTTCGCAACGATCTCCGACAGCAGTATTTATTGCAGCGTTTTTGTTCCAGCCAGCACGGCTGCCAGGTTTTAGAGCGCTTGGGGCGTACCCAAGGGGCAACGGTAGTAGTACGATAGTCCAGTATCCATGCGCCACGAATCTTTGGCCTTTCTATGGTACAGGCCTCAGCATTTCAGTAGGCTGGCCTGGTGGGCAATCGACGGCATAATAGCGCTTCACGGCTTGTGCTTTGAGCCCTTCGCGGACAAATACGTCGGTCATGCTGTTTGCGACAATCGTAGTGTCTGTAGCGTGGGCCCATCTTTCCAACCGGTGGCGTTGTTGCCGTTGCGATCGACTGGTGCGAGGGTTAGGTGCGAACAAGGTTCTTCAAGATATTGAGGCGCCAATGGATGCCTGCGATGCGGGCAGGCAACGTGCGAAGCACATCTGTACCGAAGCAAACGTACACTTTTCGTCCTTGTTCAACTTGTTGGCCGACAACCACCAAAGTTGGTTTTGTGGTACGAAGACCACCAAAGTCGGTATCCGCGTTCATTGATTGCTTTGAATCTTGGGCTATGTCTAAGCACCACGTGCGCCTTACGAACGAGTCACTATTTTTAATATCCTCCCGACAGGTGCTCCTGCCGACATACAACATCCTCGACGGGGCGCAATCACTGCTGGAGGCGCAAAAAGTCGGTCGCCGGTTGGTTGGAGGGTTCGGCGTGAAGACAATCTTACCACGTGAGTTTAATGGGTCACGTCTAGACAGTGCTTTTATTGTACATAGAATATTTCGTTTTTTTGTGCTTCCGTTTTTCTTTCTCTGGTGGCAGTGAATCGTTTCTCGCGCTTCCTTCGCAGGGATGTTCAGGAGGCTCGTCAGTGCATTACCGCGCATGCCCGGAACTCGACAAGCGAACGTGGCTCGTGTGCTCGACGCCTGAAGTCACGAAAACTGACTCTTTTTCGCGGGGACGGGTTCCGCGATGACAAAGCCTGGCAAACCAATCCTGAAACCCATCAAAAACGACACGAAGGAAACATGGCGCCTTCATTTGCTCTTTTCCAGCAGGTCTTTAGCTTCCAACAGCAACTAGTTGGAACACGTCGCATGGCAAATACTCCCACAACCCCACTCATGGCACTCTTCAAAGCTTGCGACGTCGCCGCTGCTTGTGGTGTATCGGGCTCCAAAATACTTGCGCGATGCGTTGTGCGATTACACGCGCTGTACCTGCCCGTCAAGATTTACACCCCCTTTCAGGCATGTCGTCTTGCGTCACCCGCGGGAGGCTTGACACGCACGTCTCGGAGGAAGACCTCTCATGTTGGGGGTGTGTACGGCGTAGCTTTGTAACAATCGTTTGAGACTCCTTGCCTACCTCTCATTAACAAATTCTGCGCACACAGCCGGACTAACGTACCCGGACAGACAAGAGTTTTGTGTGTGTTCGAGTCACTTCCAAATTGGCAAGAGGCAGTTCAACACGTTGGTTTCAGTGCTCGGGTACATCTCCCTAAGCCCTCCTGTTTCCTCTCCCGCACAAAAAAGTCTCACTTGTGCGAACATGCTTGATGTACAGGTAGGTTTTCTTGGCGCTCTCGGGTATTAGGTTACCGAGAAACACAGAATATTCACAGCAGTGGGCTCGTGGGAGACTGGTGTTTTTTTTGTGGACCTTGATGGACGGTGGACACGGCGTTTTTGCCATAATATTGCGTTGCCATGTTCATAGAATATTTATATGTGCCTTGCTTGGGTTCGACCGTACTTGACGGCATATCCCGCCCCGCTCCGCTCTTTCCCCTCTCCACACCATGAGTCTTGACTTCACCGCACTCCACCCGTTTTCACTCCGTTTTCACCCCGTTTTCACTCCGTTTCACTTTCCCTAATCCTCTCCAATTCACTCTACCTCACCGCACGCCATCCCGTCATCCCATCAAGCGGCCGTCTTCTCTCCCCCAAACAGAGGTGAACCGAACCACACGATCTTAACCAAACAACAGCGACCCCTAACAACTCCAAAGCACCGCGTCCGTGAAATCGTTCAACATCATGTTGGACCAATTCCGGTGAAAACATGGAACATGACCGGTGGAGTTGGTGAGAACTTTGGCCACGTGAGACTGTCCGGTTAGCCTTCCAGGACCACCCATATCAGTTAAGGAAATGAGGGAGTTTCTCCAATCAATGGCATGGAATGCCGTTCTCCCCCGCTCCGTTTTGGCTACGGGCGTCAATGGAGGAGACTTGCGGCATCTTATGCAATTGCCACATATGGGGCATCTCCTCGTTAGTTGATCCAGGTCGCTCGCCCGCGTGTACGGTTGTCTGGGGAGAAATAACACAGGCTGAGGCTGCTTGGAACCCATGGCGCTCTGAGGCACACGTTCTGCGCACACCATTGCACCAGCCCCGTTGCAATGCACCGGTACATCCAGCCTCTCTAAATGAGTTACAAGGGCTCGGCTAAGACTAGAAGAACCGCCTCCACAAGGCAGTCCGTTCCTTCTTTCGTGGTCAGTGCATCATCAACGAGTTCATCCGGGCTCTGTACCCTCGATATTGCGGTGCAATCTTGTCGCCGGATGAAGAAACCTACCAGATCCACACCACAGCAAGTTAGAATCTCTCTCGCACAACACATTTGTGATCGTACACGAGACCCCCTTCACGGAAGCTGGGCCACGGTGCATGCCCAGCTAGCTGCCACACAATAATCTAGCGCGGCACCCACGCGCTTGCCAACCGCAAAAATGTGTACCTCAAAACGAATGTTTCCTTTCGCTTCTTCGTGACACTTTCAGTCTTGTCGGTGATGAAGAACCCGGCTCTGCTACACAACCGTTGGAATTGCTGGGGGTACGGTCACGATTTTTTTGTCCAGAGCACTGCTTTCCCTTATCACGACTAAGTGCAGCGAATGATAGGGGCTTTTGGGGTGTACTGGTATCTGTTTGTCATGTTATGCCTTCGTCTCGAGGGCCAGTCTTCTGCATGCTCTGCCAGCCAACATCGTCTTGAGCAGGCTCCCGCCTCCTGCGGCACCCGACTCTACCGAGTGCGATTCACGTACTGTACCTGGCATTGTTCAGCGCTGAAGTTCCTATTCTACCCGCTCTTGGACGACTTTTCATTATTTTCATTTTTGCGTGGTCTGGCAGTTGCACGGGCTCTGAAATGTCGCCAAGACCGGAAGTTCCTGCGAAAGCTGAATCGGGACGCGAAGAAGGCCGCAAGAAATGCCAAGCGCGGCAGACCAGACTCGAGTCGACCACTACACAGCAACGAGGGCAATGGCATAGATAAACTTGAAGACCGTGCCGTGGGAAATCCCGCTGCTGCTATTGTTTCTGCTGTGGAGTCGACGTCGACAGGCGTTCTGGACGCAGAGAGACGTCCTTCGTCACCACCAAATAATGGGGGAAATGGTGCCACATCACAGGGGCGGGGTTTGGAAGAGAACGGTGATGGTGGGCGCGACGGTGGTGTACAAGCGGTGACGGCGCCGCCGCCTGACACTAGTGCAAGTTCGAGTACGAGCAGGAGGACGAGCAGTATCGACAGATTGAGGGAGGAGCTAGAGCTCGGAGATAACGTGGGTTCGGAAATTCCACGCGGTACGGGCGGTCATAGCGATACTGGGTCGGAACCAAAGTTGGACTAGCGAGGCGAGGAGAGGGGTTATGTCTGGCCGCGAACGAGGTATCGAGATATGGATTCGCGTGTCAAGGTGGACTATCGTGACTGATGACCAGGCTTGTGTTGGAAGATGCGCCAATGATTGTCGAGCCCAAACTCACTCACGGGTCAAGCCTTTGCTTCTCCTGTGCAATGCCTACCTACCCACGGTTGCACCATCGTGGGCGGCGGTATTAGTTCTTCTATTTCGAAGTTGAGCCGTCAACCACCAGGTTCATGTCGTTGTCGCCCCTTGCATACGAGCGAGCCTATCCCTAAGTCCTGAAGCAAGGATGAGGATGCGGCTTGGATCACGAGCTCCCCCGCTACTGGTGCGTAGCCTCGTATGCTGGCTAACAATATTCTCCAGCATCCGCGTGGTATTTATGGAGGTGCAACAACCCGGAAGCCCCATGGTGGTCTTGAATACTTTACACCTGCGATTGTGCCGATGGCGCTCTTGCCTAACCCGAGGCTCGCGTTTCTTTTTTCTGCCGACTTGTGCGTGTGGGTTGGGGTATAAGCTCTGTTTTGTCAAAGAACTTGAAACCTACGTTCAACGGCCACGTTTTCTAGTGTCGTGAGGGCACCGTAGGAGTCCAAGTTTGAGCACTTTGGTGAACATGGTTCGACCTACTACATAAGTGTTGGATCAGTACGGACATATGAAGGTACTGGGTAGAGAGAGATCGGAACGGTTTTAAACGTGAAGACAACCACAACACCACCAATACTGTAGATCTGGTTCGAAAAGTCTGGTTAGGGAGATCGGCTGGCAGGTAGAAATGTGCCGTTACCCGTGAGTTGTGAAGAGCTTACGATATCATCGTATCGCCAGGAGTACGGGGGTGTATGGTGAGGGTTTGTGATGTTGAAATTGAATGCAGTATGTGGGAGTCCCTCGTTCTCCCACGCATCGCCCCGCGTGTGGTTCTCTCTCTCCCGTGGTGGCGGTGGATAATAATAATAGTGCAATGTGGGTTGGGGTGATTCGGTTCTTGGCTCTCTTCTCGGGGTACTTGCCGTAGCTGACTTGGTTTTCAAGATGTGCACTTGTCTCCTCATCTATTGCAGTCGGTTCTCTAAAAGTGATGTTCCCCACCTCGTTATGTGTAGATCATCTTGTTGTTACCATGCATGGTGGACGGACGGCTGCTAAACATAAAAGTCTACAAGGGGGCTCCGCTCGCCCCCCCTGGGGCGCGGCGAGGGTGAGGGCGCGAGACATCCCGGGGTAGGCCACTATGTTTCAGGCCAGCCTTGCTTGGACGACAACCCGATCGAACCAAAAATGTGCGATATTTATTGAGATGTTTCGTTTATAGCCGCCTGTGGTGAGAGAACCTTTGTCTATGCTAGAAATAGAGAGGCACCCTTGGCTGGGAGCTCGGAAACGCGAGGAGCGTCGAAGCACGGACCTCCTGAGAGCAAGTCGTAGATAAGTTTATGGAGGACAACAAGGAACCTGACCGACCGGCGCTGGCGGAGAGGCTATCCTTCTGAAATATTCTATGCATACCATGCATCACAACTCTACTTTATAATTTTCCTGCCTGTGCGAAGACCTTCAAGTTCGAACATATCTGTTTTCATTTTGGTCCCCGATCGTTCAGAAGTCTACAGAGTCGTGTACATCTTTGGTGTGGTGGTTACATGATGTACAAGTCAAATTTCCCTATAACTTGGTTTCTGAAAAAACGCCGGCTTCGAGAAGACAAAGAGGCCCCTCTCGTGGCGTTGAGGTAAAGAAGTGAATGATGATGCCTGGACGGGAGCTTGGAGCTGGGAGCCTGGGTTCCTGGACATCTGGCTGGATGCCTCGAGCTGGGATCCGTGGGCGTAGCATTTTCCGGGGGACCTGTGGGGTGTAGACATGCCTAAGCCCCACCTCGGATCGATGTCTGCGTGGCCCCCATCGGCCCCCAAAGCAAGTCAAACGTGCGTCTTACTATCCTTCCTCACGATCTCTCGCAGGTGTTGCCCTTGCCCTACCACAACTGCCACAACACGCTGTTGTGTGTGGCTTTGAAGGCTATTTCTGGCTGATGCTCAGGTTGTGCCCCTTTCGCGCGTGTGTATATATGTAACGATACCACTCCTGCCCCCGAGCCACGACCAAGACGGGAATAGAGCAGGTGCGCGTCCAACAGCCGTCACACCTTGTTGGAGTGCTGTAGAGGCACTACAGCAGTACCTCGGTGTTTGGACCAGTCGTGTGTAGTGCATTTCCTGGTGTTTTCGTGTGATGTGCGTGTGTTTGTTGAAGGACTCGGAGGAGGCAAAATTGGGGGGGTGGCATGTACCGTATAACGAGTGTTTCCCGAGTGTGCGGCGTGCTCCCCGGACCGAGGTCTCCTTGCAGGCATCCTCATGTTGGCGCGGCATGCTGTCAGTTGCGGTCGGCTTACCCTTGCCATCTACCTGTGTTCGGTGTCGAAGGCCATATTCAAACTGGTGGGGTATTCATGCATTTCCATATGTGCCCGTACGACAAACACAGCCAGCTGCACTGTGTGACTGGTGTTGGTCCTGCTCGACGATCTCATCGTTGTACAGTAGTTGTACTGCTGTACTGTAGTCCGCTACACAACTTGCTTTCGTGGCATGCACTCGCATCTCTTCCTGCGTCTGCCCCGTTGTTGCCTCTTGCCGCCTTACGGCAGGTTTTGGCTTTCCTGCTTGGAAGAGCGCTGACAGAGGATCACGATAGGACGCGACCAGATTTACAGAACTCTGCCAAAACTCCCTCCCCCCGTATCCTACTGCCCGAAGAACGCCAATTGGCGAGGTGAGCGCGTTATTAATGGTAATATTAGCCTGTTGCTGAGCGCTTTGATTCCGTTGTTTGGATACAAATTGCAGGTGATTGTTGTCTTTGTTGTTGTCGTCGTCGTCCTTTCAGATCTCTATCCGCTACCTCCTGACATTCGTAATGGCCGCACCGACGCGGCGAGTGGGATTGTGCTATTGGACGGGTAAAGAAAAGATGTTGACTTCGATCGCATGTCTGAATATTTCGGGATCTTCGTAGTAGGTTGTGGGGAAGGCGGCAGCATTCCTTGTGTCAATCAAAGGATTTGAACCACGTGCGAGAATGTGCATCATTTTTTTTGCTTAGCATCTGTTGGCGAGATTTCACACCGTTTTAAAGGTGAACATGTTGCATTGGTTCGATCCGGGAAAAAGGCGGGGCCGAGGATGGCATGCTCCCTGTTAAGGTTGAATTTGTGAAGAGTTCCAGTATCTGTCACACCAAGCGACTGCGGAACGCAGGATAGACCTCCCTCCCTTGGTGCCGGCCACCTTTGTCACGAATGGTGTCGCGTGTTCCTGATGATTGGTGAGATTTATTTGTTGATGGTGACGCGTGAAGCCCTGAATGCCCGAATGCGATCATGTAACTGTCAATAACCCCCAGCTACTGTTGCTGTCGTACATAGCGTTTCGTCTTGGCGTTGCCACCGCCTGCACTGTCGTCCCAAATTAACATCTCCGACCTCATTGCCACATCCAACCTCTACTACACGGCGGCGGCTGGTTGCCGCTCCTGTCTCTTCCAGGTGCTGGTGGATCATGACCAAGCCATCGCCGTTGACCGCTGCTTCCACGGTTCTGGGCCTGCGCATGAGGCTTGCTCTGGCGGGTCTCATGGTGGCAGTCTTGCGGACAGGGTGTGCGTTTTGCCTGCACACTGGACACCTGAATTGCAACAGCGACGGCAAAGGCAGTGTCACTCACTGCGTTGGCCTCACCCGCAGAGGCGTGTATGGCCGCGCGAAGGCACTCTCACGATCAAAGACGCGGCGACGAATGCTTCGAGCAAGCTGGGCCGAAGAACGTCTGTCCGGCCACGCCCGTCGAATCGACAATGCCCTCGAACATGTACCTGAGCATGAGCATGAGCATCGGGACGCAACGGTCGTGGCTGGACCCTTGGTGAGACGTCGAAGCCGCCGCGTTTTCGAAACAGGGAACATGGGAATGGCTACGGTCGTGGAGGGCGACCGACCTCCGGTGATGCCGTCCGTGGGCATCAGCATGGCGGGAGCATTGCCGTACCCATCTTCCGCCGCTGTCTACTCGATTTCCATGCACACGGCTCAGGTGAGGCGGAGCAAGTTCTGGCCCTTCGTCCTATTGTTTAGTCCGGTCTGCTTGACAGTTGACAACAGTTGCTGCAGCAAACATTGCCGCGTGGTTTGCTTTTCATTATGTCCGACTTGTAACATTCCTGTGGCACCGGTTGCTACGACGTAATTCTGTCGAATATAAGGTTCTAGTGACAAAAAAACGTGCTCGTCTGCATGTTGCCATTTTTTTGTTTTTTTTCAGGGGCCCGCCAAACCGAAAATGCAGCTTTTGTACACCAACGACAAAGTCGCGAACGCCTCAGAGACCAGTGATTTGGAAGTATGTCCCGAGGATAGCAATATATTAGTCGACGCCGCAAGTCTCGTATCACCGTTGTGGTGTCAAGTTCGTCGTTGCAGGCCCAGAAGGCGCTCTTGCACAACCCAATTCTTGTCTCCCGCCGGCGGAGGAATGCTGTATTCCACATCTCCTGTGATGTTCCACATCTACTGGAACGTTTCCATGTCTACGTTTCTATCGTTGAAGCGGTTTCGACTCTTCTCGTAAACGGGCTTCCCCGTCAAGACCCGCCTTCGCAAGATTCATCGGCCTCAACTCCGTTTTTTTTGGTATATGTTGCACGTGCTGCGTTGCTAAAATATCCAAACCCGCGCTCCGCTGTCGACACTACTGGCGCACGAAAAATCCAATAATTTGACACGAGTGTACTGTTGTCGACGAGCAATTGCTAGACAGTAGATGTGGTTATTCCAGCGGCAAAATGCTAATCCTAGGGATTCAGTTTTGCGAGACAAACTTCTTGAACAGGAATGCACCCATCTTCTGGGTCCCGAGGCAGTCCGGCCGAGGACAGACACGAAGATGGGCAAGAACAGAGGTGGCGCTAAGGCCAGCAACGGTGGGAGTGGGGGAGAGGGAGGGGGGGAGAAGGGCGCGAACAAGGGCGGCGGGGGTGGGGATGGGGGCGGCGGAGGGCAGCGGGGGAATAATGGTGAGCCTGAGAGGAACGCTGGACCCCCGCTGGATGTGGCAATACTAATATTGCAGCTTCTAGCACAGCTTGGTCACCCTTGTGCTTGCACTGTTTCACGTGCACTGTTTGTCTTGCGTCATGTATTCCTGTCTCTAGGTCTGTCTTCCACCGCCGATTGTTGGTTGGAATTGTGAGAGATAAAAGCCCGACACGGTAGCCATGCCCGGTGCTCGGTGGTATTGTTTGTGGTGTCGTTGGCGCATGACGTTGATCCTGCGTTTCGTGGGAAGGTATCGCAGGAAAAATCGTCACTGTTCATGTCTTGAAACTACAGCGGTCGGCCGTGCCAGAGGTTTTATGTTTGATGTATTGCTCGCAGCCGATATTTGCTCTCTTTGTGGTGTTTGGGGAGTAATTTCGTCATCCTTTCTTTCTTGCGTGATGCACGACTCTGAGGCGCTTCCAGGTTGTTCACGTGTCACTGAGATTGTTTGTGCCCGTTGGAACTCGCCACCTCCTCCCCCACCCCAAGGAAGAAGTCACATCTCTATATCATGCATGTTATTATAAGTCAAGATTTTTAGGTGGACACGTGTTTGCGTTGCCGCCTTGTAGGTTCTTCCTTGTCACACTTTGCGAGTGTGCCGCCCTGCTCGGTTTTAACCTCGTGGAATGCTACTTGCAGCGGGATGATGAGTTGGTTCGGTGGTACAGCGTCGATATCTGTCTCACCTGCTTCCTTTGCTCGTGGGTGGTGGCAGCGAAGAGCCACTCCTTTTGCCCCGCATGTACGTTTTAGTATCGGAGATGCAAGTACACCGCGCATGGTTTATGCTCATTTCTGGGGCGGCGAGTCTTCGGCAAGCGTTATTTGTGGCCAGCAGCAGGCAGTAGCCCTCACCTTCGGGTGTTGACACTTTTGACGCAGGGCCCGAAGGCGACAGTGTTGTTGTGGTTGCCGGCAACAGCACCGAGTCCCTGAGGCTGGAGGATGGCGTGGAAATCGACAAGGAACTTGTCAGTCGGTCGCCTCTGTTGAGGACCATAGCACCGGTGTTGAGATTTTTTCGATCCAGAGCAGGTGAGTCTGTTTTGATGTTAAGTTAACCGAGACAACCGATTCCAGTTGAGTCAGTACCGTCACGTGAGCTCTATTGGGTCAGCTGGGCCTTGTAACTTTGGAGTATTTGTCGACATGCATCGCGAGGCCTCATGATTTGTGCCAACTCATACTGTCATACGTAGTGCTTTTCTGAGTCGACGCAGTTCTTCGACGTTCTTGGTTTACTCGATCTACCGTCTGTTTTACGCTTGCGCGCGAGATTGGCACGTTCCCTCAGAAGGTGTCGTACATGTGGCGACCATGACTCTAACCGGAGCTTTTCGCCTTGTGCGTTTGGATCGTTTCTATCAACAACAGGACTATACGGGATGATGCTCGGTTACGTCGTTTTCACGTTGTCTCAACACATCTCGCCCGTGTTCGTAGGGATGTCCCTCCTCACCGCCATCGGCCCGTGAGTTTTTTCATTAGTCGAGATTTTTGGACTGACACGCTACAATTGGATATACACCCTCACTTGTTTGCGTCGAAGCCAATTGAGTCTGTAGCTGTGAACAGACGAAAAGGGCGTCCCATGCATTTCGTTGACGCGTTGGTTGTTGGAGTTCAGCCTTGTCGCAGTTGCGTCTTCTTTGATCTGATCGCCGCTAGCTCGCTCGCAAACAATCCCAGCAAGTGTGGGTTGCATTGCTTCGAAGTTCGACTCTGAACGCTCTCGCACCCTGTTTTGTGCTTTAGTGGATGGAGTTCTTGTGGCTAGCGTTTGGCCACTTTTGGGGGCATATTTGACGTATTTGTCTTCGTCACGTTTTGTTTTGTTTGTTAAATTCTCAGGAGACCGGCACGGAAGGTGCTCGTGCTGGCGACGCAAAGTTTGTCGGTGTTAACGGTTGCCAGCTACCTTCAAGATCAATTCCGACACCAGGTCAGCTGTTCCCCCCTTTGCGGTCTCATGCTGCGCCGCCGTCCCGGTATACTGACAACCAAACACGCAAGAAATTTCAGATCTCTTCCTAGTAGAACCGTTTTGCGTATGTCAAGGCAGAATTTCGAGGATAGTCCAATAAGAACGATTGCACGACATGGCCGTTTGCTCACCGTCAAGACCCTGCAAAGAGATTCTGGCTTTAGAACACCGGGTGATTACGTGATGACGGTTGCACTGCCTTGGACTTCGGAGGCGACGGCGCAGGATCTCAAAGGTCGACGCCGGTCGTATCATTGTTGTCGATTTGCACTTCTTCTTGTCGTTGACACCGGTGAGTAGGCAATTCATTTTTTGTATATCGGTCAGAACACAGCCGAAGCGACCGTGTTTTGTATTCCTCAAGCTTTCAGAATTGAATGTCGCTATTCGGAAATGGTGTTTTGCATGGCGTTATGTCACCATTGCTGCTACCTGCCGTTTGCTAGGTGTATCCGCTTCCTACTGTGGCCTCCGGCCCTTCGGCACCGTACGCGATAGTCACTGGGGGGTCTTCGGGCATCGGTCGAGAGATTGCAAACGAGGTGCGGGCGGCAGGACAGAATGAGTACCAGATTCGCTCTTTCTACTTTTGTCTCAACCCCCTATTATAGCTACATGTAGGTGGCCTTGGAGGGTGGCTACAAACCTTGATGGACAACGACGACCATGATGGCGTACTGTGGTGAATTATACTTGACGGTGCATGGAGACAGTACTGCATTTGTTTTTTGACCCATGTGATTCATGGGGCACTCAGCATGTTGTTCTGCGTTTTGCCCATGTTCAACTGGTCAATTATCTGGTGTCAACCATATGCAGCTGCTTCATCCAGCACTTGTCTAGGCAAATATCGCATTGATAGACCGTCTTTTTTATAAGCTGCCTAATTGTTTTTCTAGTTCACCCTGTTCATGTGCAAAATCACGCCTGACAATATTTAGACATGTTATGTTGTTTGCGTTTTTCTGTCCCGGAAGACTAGTTTGACCCCCATGATTCTAGGATCCTGGATATCTGGGGGACAATCAACAAACAGTCTTCGACAAATCGTTCTGTACCGGGTGCATCCAACCCACAAGAAAATCTGGAATGTCTGAAACCAGTTTATTTCCACGTACTTCTGAGTGCAGAGCTTCCCTGGACGTTACTCCTCAAAAGCCTCCTTAGATTCGTTTTTGGGAAAATGATACAACAGGGTATACCCTGGTCGAAAAGGGACACACCTGGCTACAGTCATTAACAGCAGTAAATGCACTCATATGATTGGCCAGCGCCCAATTTCACCCCGGTGCGTCCGAAAAGGCGCAGGGTATACCCTGCCGTGACTACTTTTCTCAACAACTGTACCCTGTTTTTCGGAAATGTACCCTGACCTGACGGGAAATGAGACCCTTTCATTAATCATTTCCCCCGCACGAATCTTCCCAACTCCTTTTCCCCTCCAACCATAGGATACCAAACGGCGAATCTTCCCGCCCAATAACAACCATGGCAACGGGGCAGGAACCAGCTTCCGCTCCTGCGAAACAACACCAACCATCAACTCCTCCGCTCTAAATCAACAATGGCCGGGCAATACCCCAGCACAATTGTTCCGTTTGGAAACATGCACACACGCGTACAATACCCCGTGGACTACTGCTTGCTGCAGTCTATATGCGAGACGCACGGGTCACGCTATGAAAGCGAGACCGATCCAGCATGGTTGACATGCATATGCATGTGCCAATGTGTGGCGCTGTGCTGGCGGCGAGCTCGCGCCCGTAGAGAGGGTAGAGGAGAGAGGCAGGACCAGCACACACAGACACGTTGACATCAATCACGCACACACGAGTCTTATCCTTACTCTAGCAGCAGGACACTTGCTGTGTCGTCCAACTCAATCACCCTCCCTGTCGGTAGAGAAGAGAAAGAGTGCTCGCGTTGTATTTCATCGGCTCATCCCGCTGAAGCCTGACGTCTTCTTACTACATTGATTGATTGGTCGGCTTGGTTGGCTGGTAAGCGTGACCGCTGCTGCTACAGCTGTAGTTCAAGCAAGAAACACATCGCAATTGAGACACAACAGACAACACACGCACGCACACATGCATATGCATGTCAACCATGCTGGATCGGTCTCGCTTTCACAGCGTGACCCGTGCGTCTCGCATATACACTGCAGCAAGCAGTAGTCCACGGGGTATTGTACGCGTGTGTGCATGTTTCCAAACGGAACAATTGTGCTGAGGTATTGCCCGGCCATTGTTGATTTAGAGCGGAGGAGTTGATGGTTGGTGCTGTTTCGCAGGAGCGGAAGCTGGTTCCTGCCCCGTTGCCATGGTTGTTATTGGGCGGGAAGATTCGCCGTTTGGTATCCCATGGTTGGAGGGGAAAAGGAGTTGGGAAGATTCGTGCGGGGGAAACGATTAATGAAAGGATCTCATTTCCCGTCAGGTCAGGGTACGTTTCCGAAAACAGGGTACAGTTGTTGAGAAAAGTAGTCACGGCAGGGTATACCCTGCGCCTTTTCGGACGCACCGGGGTGAAATTGGGCGCTGGCCAATCATATGAGTGCATTTACAGCTGTTAATGACTGTGTAGCCAGGTGTGTCGCTTTTCGACCAGGGTATACCCTGTTGTGTCGTTTTCCTTCGTTTTTCTTTCCCACCTCTACGAGACACACTGCTGTAGCGACCTCTGCTTTGTGCTCCTCGCTGCCCACGTGACTACCACGTTGCTTCAGTTGGCCGGGCGGGGCTACAACATTCTGCTGGTTGCCAGGGGTAAGGAGGGCCTAAAGAGGGCCGCGAAGGAGCTGACTGAGGCATCCAGGTTTGTACCACGTGATAAACGTACCGTTACGAATTGAGTGTATTTCATTCGCGTTGTCTCCTGTGCAGGTGCTTCTTGGTGAGGTTTGGGTTTCTCCGGACAAGCATACCTACGTTGTATGCATAGCCCTACGTGTTCGCCCTCATGAGTTTGTAGTTCTTGTGTTGATGAGGAACAGGCTAGAGACTTGATCAAGCGTTTGTCGGCCACGGCACAGAGCCATCGCTGCAGTGTCGTCTTGCCTCGGACACCTTTAATGCCTGTGAGAAGTGCGAGGCAGAGCTAATAGCGGTGCTCGGGAACAAACGTCCGTGCATGAGCGGTGGCGACGTAGCGCGTCTCTACTCAACGGTACCGGAATGTTTCTTTTTGCCAACGTTTGAACATGGCTGATAGTGTACCGCTCTGGAAGCCCAACAGGGTCATGTATGCACATACCTGTCAGCTTCGGTTTCTCCGGATACAGTATCCGGGGACACACTGAAGCTGCAAAGGCGAAAGGGCACAGTACTTGCGTGACCTACGGCAGTATCACGGCTTGTACGATTCCCCATACTGGAATACAGGCCGGTCATGTTGCATCGTGTGCCACCCGCGAATCCCATCATCGCGCCCTGCAGTCATCCCATGGTTTTTCCGTCCCATTGTCCCGCCCTCTGTCCATGCCATGCTCATCCCGTCCCGTCATTCAGGGAGGCGGCGGAGGTGGCCAGACGGGAGCGTGAGGAGGGCGGAGATGACGGCCGGCAAGCTAGCGCCTCAAGAAGAGATTCAGAAAGCAGGAGAGATCGAAAACGCCGGCGTCGCCAAGAGAGGTATGCAGATGACTTTTGTATCGATCACAGGCAACGCAGACCTTAGGGTGTTGTTTATGGCTGCGGTACCGCTTGCTGGTTTTGCGGTGAAGGCACATTTCCTCCCTCCACATCTAGTAGCATCACCGCTGGCCACGCTCATGAGGACAGACCAAACTGTACAGACCGTGACGTACATTTTTGTTTATGGGAGTGTCACCCCGTTTCTGGAAACCGACAAATCAAGTGAGAAACCACTGCTGTGGCGGTTTGGGCTAGCTGCTTCGTCTTCACGGGCATCTACGATGGCGGTGCGCAATTTCGCGACGGGTAGTCAGTCAACGTTTGGTTTGTGTTTACATGGTTTCAGGAAAGAGAGCATGCGCCGTTCGGTGATGTCATCGGCGTCCTCAGCTACACCGTCGCCGTCGACATCATCTGCACAGACCTCCAAGCGGAATGGCTCGGGTGCTGCCATAGGCCTCTCTTCTAACTCGTCCAGGTTTATAGGACCGCACTCGGAAGGGGGACTAGAACAAGAGAGGGGCAGGGGGCAAGAGCAAGAAGATGCGGCTGCAGTTGGAGCTACTGCTGTTGCGCCTCAGTTGACGGAGGCGGTAACCGCGAGGTGGTTTGCTGCTGACCTGGGAAATGCCACCTCAACACAGGCTGTGTATGCAGAGGTAGCGTGGTTTTCATGAGCGCGATCCCCACTTTGTGTTTTGTTTTGCAAGTGAAGGCCTTGTATGCATTGCGTTTGCTCTCTTTGACACAAAGTGGAACTGACGCCGAGCGTTGCCACACATGAATCATCAGGTGTTGTGCATCCACGTGGAATACAGATTATAATGCGGAGCATGTGATGAGTACCATACCAGGTTGGTGATCGTGATGGGGATTGGTTCTTGAAGCAATACATACAATGCTTCCAACTTCCGACGTGATGTACAGTCTGGGCAAGAAATCTATGCATTAGCCATCGTTCTCCGACCGCCACAGCTCGCTCATGTGTTCGAGTGCGTTTTCCTCCTACACCGAAAAAGGTGGCGCTTTTGTTTTCAAGCCGTTGCTGCACCGCGGAAAGACGACATCGGTATGTTCTCATCGTCTCTCTTGTGCTGCCTGTAATTTGCCGAATCTTGACAAGGTACACAATTGGTCTTTTTCGAGGAGCCCATGTACGGAGGAGATGCAGCATGATGAAACAGTGTCTTGGAAGAAGGGTCATTTTGCTCAACGTCTCGGACCATTCTGTTTACACCTGACCTAAATGTACTATTGTACGACGGGCATATCCACCTGTCATCTTCAAGGCCGTCTCGTGCATGCTACATACGTTCTTGGGGTCTGCTCATGTTACCCTAACCCTAACCCTAGGCATACCACACGGCCCAAGGTGATCCCAACACAAACACGACATACTTTGTCGAATCAAATCAGGTTCAACGATTGAATCTAACGGTGGACATCCTGGTGAACGCCGCTGGGTTGTGCCGCGTTGGCCGGGTGAACAACTGTGCCGAAGAAGACCTGACTTCGCAGCTGATGCTGAACGTGGTGGGCACGAGTCAGCTGACTCGCCTGTTCGCGAAAGGTGCGACTTGGACTTTCGTCATCACAACGTTAATTTGTTCCGGTCGTGTGCATGATGTACTGCTGTTTCCAGAGTTGATGTTCAATTACCTTACGTTGTCGATTCTTGGTGTGCTTTTTGGCGTCCCTGACGTTACCCTGTTCCGTCCCTCGTCTGACCGAACCCCGTACCCATACCCCTCTGTCTCGGCGTCCCTGGTGCTTGGCTGCGCACCTTCATTGTTTCTTCAATCTTTCGTCCATGAAGTACGCTCTCTCGTTGCGTATTATCATTGCCCCGGTACCTCCATCGGTAGTTGTGATAGGACTATTCAAGGGGTCACTGTGTACTCATCCCCATTATGTGGTCATGTTGGGGAACGCATCTGCGCAGGAATCCCTAACAACCGGCAGCCTGTCGTTAACACACTCGCAAGACTCGGAGCTTGGTTTGATGGGGACCACGCAAACTCCATGTCCCACATGGTTATCTCTCATTCCTGTGTCGTTGGCCCCTTGTATGTACAGTTTTCATTCGTAATCACGCGTGTTCGAAGGCACGTCCACTGACTTACTATCGGAGGAGACTACATTGTGCCGTTGGACTGACCATGGTTTTGCTTACCGTACCGGGCATTTCCTCCGCCAGCCTTCGTTTCTGTACTGGCGTTCCAGTTGACTCTCTTCAATTTTGCCCCACCAATCGCTCTTCCTCCAGATTTTGTGAGGAGACGAAAGGGTCGTATCATGGTGGTGTCTTCTGTCGTTTCTGCAGCACCTAATCCCACGGTCGCTGCGTACGCGGCAAGCAAGTCGTATCTCACCAGGTGGGATGACACGAGATGGTATCAGATTCGGCTGATGGTCTAGGGCAGCGTGATTCTCACGTGTTTTTGTTGTCGATGTTCGTGGCTTGCGTGCAAACCAGTTTTCATCCTGGTTCATTTTCTCTGCGTGGATCGTTCACTCGTTAAGCGTTTTTTGGATCCTTTCTTGTCGTATCTCCCGTCGTCATCTGGTTAGGGGTTAGTAGCCGCGTGTGGATTTGGTGTGCGCGTCATGACCACCGTGTGCGAAATTTTGCAGTTTTGCGGAAGCCCTACACAGCGAGTTGGAGGTATCGGGGGTAGGCGTAACGTGCGTCATGCCTGGAGCTACGAGAACGAGCTTCCAAGACAACTCGGGCTCTACGGCAGCTTTGGTCTGGCAGCTTCCGCTCTTTTCGATGGAAGCGGATGAGGTATGATCGGTAAAAAGAGACGACTTGAGGTTAGCAAGTATGCCCGGGGAAACCGTTTAGTAATGATCGAGTCCAGAGTTTGGGGACGTGTGAGTCGTTGGGAAAGGTGGGTGGCTCTTGACATGTGCGCGTGGCCTGAAGATCGAGTGTAAGCGATTGACGAGTGCTTGCCTTTTACCCAATACCTCACGGTGGACGCGCGTGTTGCAACAAGTCGTGAAAGCTTTGAACATCATTTCCAGTGGTCACGTGAATCCAAATTGACGTGCTGAGTGGTGAAGTTTCAATGCATCATCGACGACCGAACGAAGAGGTGGTCGCATGCAACCTGTGGCCACTTTGTCGCCTCCGGCGTTGTGCCAGGCATGTGTGTCACAGAAGTTGATGCCCCAGTGACGGTTAACATTATGTTGTGAATGAGTCGTGCGAGGCGCCCTCAGTCTTGTGGTTACGTTTTCGATGCATCTGTGCTGCTCGCGTGCGTTTGAACAACTCGATGAGTTGCTCCCTAGGTGCTTGGCTCTGTTGTGTTGTGTTCAGCATGGCTGTCGCTCAGCACCTTGTGTCCAGTGGTATCACCTAGCGTTATACGCGTTATACGCGTTATACGCGAGGGCCGTGGACCCGCTTGGGGTCTCCACGCACACTTAACACTTATTTAGTTGTCCTCGGGTATCAGGTCGGAATTTCGTGCGCACTTGAACGATTTAGCCCCCTTTGGCCGCTGCTTCAAGTGTAAAATCGCCTGCACGCTCGATTGCAAGGTGGCCGCGAGAGCAGTTGAGGCGTTGATGAGAGGAGACCGCACTGTCGTTCCCGGATGGCAAAACAAGCTGTACGTGCACGTCCTGGCTCCGCTGGTAAGTGGAGGAGCAAGCACATGAAATGCCGCGGCTGGCAGGCAACAACCTGGCCGTGAGTTAGGTATAGCAAATGTTAACGTTTGGCCCTCTCGTTGAATCGAATCACTTCCCTGCCTGGCGGGCTTGCAAACCTCGCCTCTTGTAAGGTCCCTCCCCGTACCGAAGTTTGTGTAGGCTGCGATGCTGGTGCTCTCATTTTTCATGCTTGTAGAAGGGGCCTCTAGCCTGACCACGGTGGCAAGCTTGTCGTGGTAGTCATCGTGGCTGCCAGAAGCGCAATGAAGCACTTTTTTGCTTTGGCGTCTGAACGTTTTCTTGGGTATGGCAGGGTAGTATTTGTGGGCATTGTTGAGTTCTTGGGCAGCCTGCATCGATACCATTGGAGCCTCAAGCCCCTTTTTGTATCTTGCTTTTTTTTTCAATGACCATAGATCAAGTGGTTTGGTTAACGTGATACAAGTATATGCGTAGTTTTCGCGAATGTAAGGGAGACGCTGTTGTGCGCTGTGGACTGTGTCAGCCTGTCTGTTTCGGAGGGGCCATCCCAACATTGAGTCCTATTCCTTCATTTCACACACCTCTTTGTGTGGCTCTTGAAACTCGCTCCATTTGTCTGTCGACGCTTTTTCCACAACCCTTTTTTCAGCTGCCTCGGAAAATCGTCATGAGCTTCGCAGAAGCTATGTGGAGATGACGCGATATTTCTGGTGCGCCGCAGACTCGACCGTAACAAGCAATTGCAGTCGTGCATCAGTTTAGAGACGCCTGTGCCAATAGTCGTCGGACGATGTCGAACTCCGGAATGATACTGTACCTGCCTGTTTCTATGCGTGGTTTGACCCGGTGGCTTGGGCACACAGCAGTGAGATCATGGCCGGAGTAGTTGCAGCATGAGGCTAACGTCGTGGAATGAAAGATAGTGGAGACCCGAAGGCTGGACTAGGTTAGATTCGTGTTATTGCCTGGGGGTACTGTAGCACGGTAGAGCGGATAGGACACTAGTCCCGGGGAGACCCTGTCGCCTTGATGCCCTGTGTCGCTTGATGTAACTCACCGGCAAAACATGGTTTGGCGTTGTACTTCCTCTGTCAGGCTCGAAATACGTCCGAGCCGTCAGGGTGCACGCGTAGCGGTGCAATAGTTCAGTTTGGGAAGGCGAGGAAATGTATGTTACGGGGCAAGGCCGTCTTTTAGAATATAATTGTGCGCGCCATAGTTCCTCCTGAAAGTTGGGCAAGTCGCTTGAACCGGCAGCAAACGGTTTCACGTCACACGCGATGGCGTAGCACTTTTTCTCCTGTTCGAAGAGCGTCAATGGGTTACTTCGAGACGCCATTTCTCCTTTTTTTGTGCCGCCGCAGTCGATGTCGAGATCACTGGATGATGACCCAATAGGGCCCCGCAGATAGACCTTACGGGAGACGGGCCTTGCCAAACAGAAAACGTTTTCCAAGTGAAAAACGGCACCGATTGTAGTACGTCGTCTATAGAGTCTACACGTGTGTAGTCTACGCAACAAATTTAGCACCGGAACGTGCCTGCCCGTGGAAGTGAGCCTCAGCTCACTTCAATAAGAGAGAAGCTACATGGTGCAGATATAACGCAAAGGCGAAGCACGAAGCAGCCGTGCACATGCTCTCAATCTGTCGTCTTCTAGATCGTTCCAAGATGATTGGCAGAGGAAAGGACTTCCGATCATTCGCAGTGATTACGAGAATGCTATTGCATTGTGCAAGAGGGGCCTCTCTCTGTGGCGGGGCGGGCGGTTGTCTGTCGTACATTTTTCTCGGATGTGCGCTGATGGCGCTGTTTCTCCCACCATCGATGTGTGGATGATGGGAGGATTCTTGGCGTATGGCTGCAGGCAGCACGTCATCATGGCGTCATCGGCAAGAAGAAGGAGGATTGAGAGCCTGCCGTTGCTATTTGTTGCTGTTGCTGTTGTTCTTGCCTTCACCTTGAAAACCGTTCCTATCTCGTAGACAGCCGGCCGTCGTCTCTTTGCTTGTTGTGTGCTGATGATATAGTGGCTCGTGATGAAGAACTCACCTACTTTTTGTTCGTTGTAGACCAGCAGTGCTGTTTCCTTGGCCACGAGGCAGGAATGATCGGGTGGGGGCGGGCCAGCTCCCTCTAACAGGCTACGAAGACCCCCTGCTGTATCCTTCAATCGGGAGTTTGCCTCTCCCGCACTTTTTCACAGATATTAGGCCCGATACAAGGGCGCACAACTTTTTTTTTCCCGACACCTAACCCTACCCCCCCCCCCCCGCGGGAGGGGTGTGATTTTTTTTTTTTTTTTGGAATATTTTCGTACCGGCTTTCTTTTGGCTTTCTCCTTCTCCATTGCGTGTGCTTGCGTGTGGTGGTGTTTACGGCTAGACGTGCAAGCAGGACCTTGTTACTAGGAAGGTGTAGATTGCTACTTCATGTACTGAAATAAGCTGTGATGGGTGGGGACACTTCTTATTTGGTTTTCAAGTCTTGAAGTACAGCAGTAGTGCTTGGGGACAACCCCTCAGCTACAAGTAACTTAGAACTTCTCCAAGCCTCTGCGACAAGTCCACGACATTTGACCTCGGTCGAATGTGGCGAAAGGACACAACCAAATGACACATACCCATGCGTCGAAATGTCATCATTCCAAGCTTACTCAAGCCGGCAACATACCGAAGAGGGGCTGTCGATGAGCCTACGGCGGTGGGGAATCGCCTTCGCCACGTGCAACGCCCATCCACAAATAATAGCAATTTGTCTTGGATGGTACTTATTATTCACCCCCGAAGCCCCTCCAGTATTGCCAAGTCAAACTCATCCTCGCTGAACCCTTTGGGGCACTATACTTGCCATTCACCGCCTGCTCTAACCTATGGATGATACCACTCAGCGACAAGCCGTCTTGCCGCGATTGAGCCATCAACCTTCGAACGCCATTCACGTCATTGTCTGCGATGAAAATGAAGATACTCTTCGCGAGTGCAACACGACCATGCAAAGCCGCGCACTTCCTGAGTTGGTTCAAAGTGTACAGTTTCTGCACTTCGAACTTCTTCTTCCACCGCGTCAGCCTGCCTCGTTGCTGGTGAGGAGTCAACAAATCTAGAGCAAGGTGCTTCAACCTTGAGTCTTCTGGCTCCAACGATGATCGTTGAACCAGATCTGCTCCAAGACGGAAGGCGTGCAGAGGGAACAATCCAATAAAAAAAAAGTACATGTGTGGTGGAATTAGGGTACGACAGTTAAATTGTCTTGCCTTCCTAGTTGTGCCTTCCTACTTCCTATTTCGCGTTTTATTCGCTACGTGGTCTCACCTCTGTAAACTTGACTGCCCTTGATGTCCACACACGGCTCGCACGTGCCTCCTGGTTCTTCCACTGCTCCAGCACAACCTGGGCTCAGGATGCCGCGGGAGACGGATTCCACGGCGTGAAGAGCCACGCCATTCGGGTCTATCCGAGCCTCCCACGACAGCCCCTTTTTGACGACACCATGCAAAGCTGCTGGGTAGTGTTGGAGAAGAGGCTCCCGAACATTCGGACGCAATCCCGCGCAGCGGAGGGGGTTTTGGACGCGCACCATATCGGTCGAGCCACTCTCGTGTGCAGCGTCGGAGAAAGCTCCATCCATTTCGCTGCTCGCGCCCTCACAACCCTCACGCCCGTTCACAACTCCCGTCGCAACCACCTCACCGTCGCTACCCGTGCCCGTTCCGCCCTCACGCTCGCCTGCAACTAACTCCCGTCGAGAGCACCTCAACGTCACTGCTTGCGCCCGCTCCGCCTCCACCCCCACCTGCAACTCCCGTCGCAACCACCTCAGCATCGCTACCCGCGCCTGCTCCGCCCTCACGCCCGCCTGCAACTCCCGTCGTAACCACCTCAACGCCACTGCTTGCGCCACCGCTGCTATCCATCACGTCCCTCGACCCCTTCCTGCCGCCCGTAGTGCTCGTCGGTTTAAAAAACCTCAGCATTGTATTCCTCTGACGCTTAGCTTCAGCACCACGCCTGCGGATGGATGTGAATAAATATTGATTGATCCGCCGTTGAGAGACGGAATAATTATCTATAATCGTTCTACTGTACGTACATACTGTGTCAAGTTGCGTAGTAGGCGACGCATTCGCACACATCCACAAAGCTGCATGCACGCATTGATACTTTGCGCGACATGCGTGCGGCGAGGATAGCCAAAGCAACGGGTCTTGCGAGGTCTTGAAATGTTGGTGAGCACAAGTGAGCAGTCCAAATTACTCGAGAATGCAACTGCGGACACCGACCGCGATCGCCCTCACATGTGTGCGGTCGACCTCTCGTGCTGGTTCACGTGAAACTGGGTCAGCCCTTCACCGGAGCCGAAATAGTGCTGGCACGTGGTGCAAACCCAGTTGCCACTGCTATTCTTCTGAGCGATTTTCGCAACAGGCGAACGCGATCTGGTCGCATGCGATGGGCGTGCGGAAAGTGGCAGGCACGGGCAGGGGACACCAATGTAAAGGTCAGTTCTTCTGCAGAGAGGCAGGAATATCCCCGTGGCACACAGCCTTGTGGGTGGTGCCGGTCTGCATTATTTCGCGCATTTTTTTCTCAAACGTTGTCACAAGTTGTCATGCTGCTCAGCTACCGCTCGCTGCGGCTTCTGCCTCTGCTGTTGAGGCTCCCGCTACTACTGCTGCTTCCAGTTACATGGGAAGCAGCACAACACACACGCGGCTGCCGCTGCCAGCTACACGGGCAGCAGTACAACCACGTTTGGTGTGTACAACATGTTAGTATACCCTTGTAAGTGTGTTGAAGATGATGGTATCACTTGTATTTAGGACAGCAGACACGATCAGGACGCGGCGGGAGAGAGAGAGTACCACGACACAGCAAGCACTCCCGCAGGGTCGAGCCCCGTGGATCAACCATGAAACCAACCCAGGGGACTATCAATTCCTATCTGCGTAGCCAATTCCTACAGTCCCGTTGGAATATTCTCATCCGCTCATGCACACACGAACACCCTCCCTGGTTCTTTACGCTAGTAACTAACCACTAGTGGGCATGCACACGCCGGATGTGACGAAAACCCAAACGGACAAAAAAACCAACGCGAAAAAATAACAGGGGGAAACCCGGCCTCCGGGTCAAACCCCCCACCAATATTCACCGTTCCACCAGATACTGTCACTGTTGCGCTACCAGAGCAAGATCAAAACATGCATAATACCAGTCGCGCCAGGATCCACGCTCGGAATCTATATCTACAAACGTGGGCGGCGTGCTGTCATATTCTTCCTGCATGACGTACCAAGATCATAACCCTGTTTCCAACAACGGCCTATCTCAATTCTTGGTGAGCAATAGCGTAAGACTATCCTGAGGAGTTGGTTCAAACAACTACCATGCGGCTGCACTACTATCTGTTCTTCAAACAAACATCAGACAAACATCGAAATCGCCCCCCCCCCTCGCTGAAGTAACACAGCGCACCGGGGCATAAGGCAATCATCTAACATTTTCTGAGCGACACACAAGCGGCATGCATTTTTCGACAATCCTCTGTTCTCGTCGACGTACAACACTGACTGGTGTCCCAATTTTTCCTCATACGTTCCTTCAGCGGTTCCAACAGTATCCCAATCCTGCACATTTCGCAACCTGGAAAACGGCTCCACGTGGCCGCAATCAAGAAGGGTTTCAACCAAATGACTACCAGGAAAATACTGAACATGTGGACGCGAAGGCCTCCGAGAAACACGAAACACCCTCCCTGGCTCTTCAACCAAAGTGCACTCATGACAACTAACGAGGATCACCAACTTCGCTACGAATACCATCAAACACCAAATACCGTCAAGAAAGAAGTGCCAATCCAGCACTGTGATGCGTGTTGCTCCCCTCCCAGCGCTCGTCCCGGCCTGTAGCCTCGCCAGAAAAGGAGTTCCCGTTTTAGCATCACGAGGCAAATACCCTCCCCCCCACCCGTGCCGCGGGGTTCCCCCTCACGCCCTTTCCGGCGCGCCACGGGGCTGCTTCGATTTTCTCCCCCCCTCACGCCCCGTCGGACGCGCCATGGGGCCTTAGATTTTTTTTCCTCCTCGCACCCCGTCCGACGCGCCATGGGGCTGCA